ACTTTCTCACGCCCTAATTGCTAATAACTGTCTTTATCACTTGAAAATACAATGGGATGTAAACAAATCTATTACTACTCTTTCAATATAAGACCGTACTTTCTGCGTTTTGTCGCAAGAAAAAGTTTTGCAACTTTACTAATTTCAAAAAACTGTCAAATAGGATACCTTTTTTGTGAAGCTTAATATGAGAGGCGTAATGGTATTCACATATCCCACTTATTTATATGGTTTTGTACAGGGTACGTGTCTCATATACATTTAAAATAAAATATGTAACAGTGTTTACTCCTCTACAAGGTGTAAATGATCTATTTTTCTTTGACAATTTTGTAATTAATTTACTATAATAATAAAAAAAATGTTTTGTTTTTATAAAATTTTAGTGGAAAATAATTTTTACACTACTTTGATAAAGTAAGTGGTGTGTACATAGTATTAATAATAATAATTGTCGTTTCTTCTGTATCAGCGAAAATTTGGTTTATTATTATACAATATTTAGGTGTGATTTAGTACATGTCACATACTTTTAATTTTAAAAGGTATTATATGAAATGAATAATAACCAATAAACAAAACAAATATAATATTGTTTAGCTGCTAATTCTGTGCTCAATTTCATAATATACGTACAAATTGCTTTCTTAAAATTTAAAATCATAAAATTTTCAACGCCTTACAAATAAGATTTACTATGTCGAAAGTACAGCGAAATTTAATTTACAATAAAGTAATCTGTAAGCATTGCAATCATTTTGTAACGGAGTGATGGGTCATAAATCAGTGTTACATTATTAAAATTCTTTAAATTAGAGATGGAATGAAAGTGATTACAGCTGTATCCGATATTCGGATAGATTTGTTTAAACCCAAAATAGTGATTTCAATCAATAAACATTTAAACTAAAAGATGTTAAAGAAAAAAATATATAAGTTATTAAAATATAATATGGTACCTACGTAGTACTCAAACCCACGACCAACACTACCTACACACAGAAGTAACTTATTTTATATTAATTATACACAACTTATGAAATAAACTTACTTAATTACTACAGGAATACAAATTCAATTTAATTTTTGTTTAAGTATATTTAATCAGGCACCGATTTAGGCTAAATCTTATAATAAATGTTACTAACTACTTAAGAATTGATAATGATGTCTATATAAGTTTGATTAGCAGCTATACAATTTCTGTTTGCAAATGGCTAATAGGGTAGCGGGGACGGATTTCGGGATGGACAGGGGCCTGGGTAGACTTCACAAAAGAGGGTATAGAGATTTCGGATTTTTTTAGCTAGAAAATGTAATGCTATAATTTAATATTTCTTTCTTTAATGTCTATATATTTCTTAAATACTATAAAAATCTATTTGGTATCGCAATTAATTATTTGTTAAACAACTTAACTGAGAAGTTGATTTATTATTTTATTAGGAAAATATTCTAAAGCCAGGGGACCCGATCTGTTTCGTTGTCCCGTCAATGTCAAAGTCAATAATATTTATTCGTGTAGGTAACTAGGTACACTTATGAACGTCATAAAACTAGAGAATCTAACTTTACAGTTGACTTCTATTCAACCAAGGGCTAAGCGCGAACCCGTGGTACCTCGGCCCTCTAAGCAAGCCTCATTTGCTGGTTTAAATATCTGACGATATCAATGGGTTGAGCTCGTGTTAAATAATTTAATATCCTATCAATGATAATCCCATGTGTTTTGAATTAACTCTTATCTGTAATGGGCGGACAATTATATTTGTGCTTGTGGAAAATACAGGATACAATTTCTAGATACAGATTAAACAATATACAAACTTTGAACTGTAAAACAAGCCGCCATCAAATTGTAAGTTAACATTAATGACATGGGAGTAATTGTATAGTAGAGGACACACAAACATGGGGTTCTCACTTGATGGTAGGTGAAATACAACAGCCATAACATCTTAACATCTGTTTTAATCCGTTACAGTATGACTTAAAGTGACCTTTATAACTTTTACAGTTCTAATAAGTAATCTAGCTGTCAATAACGGAACTTTCAGTAAACAAAGGACCGCGTATTAAACGCAAACCGGTTTTTGCGCATACTAATTGAACTTTTATTTATAACTGTGAAATGTACAGAAAAATAACTTTACAAGACGTTGACACAATGTACTAAATGCTTTCAAATCGATTTAATTACGAATTATTTTTATAACTTTACTTGGCTTAATTAACAACATAACATATAGTTTATGCGAGTATTATACATTAATCTATAAATAAATTTAACGGATAACAATGCGATTCCTTATCTGTTAAATTTATATCATTAAAACATGGAATTGAATGTGTAATAGTACTTCACAATTACAGCAAATATATTGATGTACCTATATTTGAACTTATATTAAAGTTGTAGTTATATTATAATCGTATAGAAATCTGGTCGATTAATGATTTATTAACATCATAGAAGAATTTATATTCTATTTCGTTAATGTATTTAAACATGATTCATCTATTATATTTTTAAAGAACTCGTGTCAAAATTATGGAGACGACACGATTAACAATCTATTGAACTGAAACGAATTCTTATATTATATTTGAAACATAGACAAGAATGCGTTTCACTTCACGGTAAGTGAATTATCTCAGCCATATAACATGCAAACAAGATCAACTTATTTTAGGTTTGGATATTCGGAAATCCGAACTGAAACTGGAACCGAATAAAGGAGGGTGGTTCGTGACTCGGACGGGGATTTCATAATCATATTTCCAAACGAAGTCCAACATTTAAATAAAACACTTTAACGGTTTAAAATGCGATATATTAGTTAAACTTATTTGTAAATGATTTTTAACTTCGGCCCGACGTTTCGAACGCTTGAAGGTGGTGGGGAACCCAAACCTATGTTTTATTTAATGTCTCTCGCGGAAACTATAGACAGAAGTCCAACGTGTTTCATTCTGTTTTGACCTGGTGGAGATCGAACTCACCAACCGTTATTATTTGTCGGGTTTAACCAACGAGTCTCTCGACATACGACATCTTCTTACTCGTATCATTGTTTTATTATTTTGCTTCTTATAGTACCAACCTGTATCGTTACCGTTAGTCTGTCTTTAGCATATCGTTCATCGTTCCAATATTTTATAAGGATTACTTTGCATAATTTTATTACATCGCTTGGCGGAGATGAAACCGGATAGGCCGCATTCGTCCGCGGTTAGGACAACGACTCTTAAATGCTAACATACTGATCGTCTTGAGGATAAGGATCTCACACGCCATCTAACTTCACATATAGCTCGAGGTAAACGGAAAATGATAAATCATAAATCAGTCTGTAGGGTAATAAAATAACTAATTAACTAATATTGCATAACTGCTATCAACTTTTGCGTCTTTAGATATTATTGTGAAGTCCCGTTTCCGCTTGGGCAGACATATTTTTGCGTCCGTTACATACAAATAGGTGTTTAGACTTCTGTTTTCCCCGTACCCATAAACATTATTACAAACAATTTAAAATTTAAGTTTAACAATTGTATACATATAAAAAAAGAGTGTTTGTGAAATGGGGAAAATACTCGGCTTGCATATTACCTCCTAATATTAGCGGTGAAGCAGTTTTCAGTGGCTCCTGGGGGTTAACTATGAAACTAAAAACTATATGATTAAATATCACTAAAACTTGCGCCCGATTAACTCATTCTAAACATAGAGGTCGTGGAAATAACATCGTTTTACTTAAATAGGTAATGGCGTGCTTTTATATGTTTATTGATACAAAGCATCCGAATCGATCTGTATCGCGTTTTGAACCGTTAAAGTGTTTTATTTAAATGTGCACTACTTCCGTAAACTACAGAGTATACAATTTGTTTTGCAATTTTTTTATTTGGGTCAAAATAAAATGTCGATCTAATCGATGTGTAAGCTTATTTATAATTCCAAAAGTAGTTTTCAATATAATTCTTCCCTATTTTATATTTAAATATATCTTCCATGATTTTTTTCATAAATAATGTAAAGACGATAGCAGTACACATCTTGGTCTTCAATTCCAATCACGAGCATGTAAATAATTCAATTTACTTATTTCTAAAATTATTATTTATGAAGATTCTAGTCAATTTGAATAATTATTTAGCGGTTTTTCATGCTTGTAACATCTTGTCAGTGTCGTTTTAGCTGGACGCACATCGTTGAATCCATTCATTGTTATTAACAATGTGTCTTATCTTTGGTGTTTACCTCATATTACAAGTACTTTATGCCACTAATTTTCCGCTTTAGAGTCTTAAAAGATGTACATAGATAGATCTAGAGGTTTTCCGATACCTATTTTCATACGGAATTCCAAGAAGGAGCTTTAAATGTTTTAATCAAGTATTTCAAATTGATATAAAATAATTCAAATATACTTAATGTTTTAAACTGTGTAAGTGCCACAGACATGACTGTTTACCCCGTTGGTAAAGTATCGGCACGGTACGTTGTTGGTCGTCGGTTCTAGACTCGACTGTGTTACCAATTTATTCACCTCTTTAAAGATATCTTTTTTTTTTAAATCAACCGTCACTCAAACTTTATTACGAAGGAAATTAAAACTTAAACCTAACGAAAAATGTGTGCCGTGCAGAGTACATTTTGGAGCACAAAATTTTCTTTAAAAATGTTACTTCCACCTTAGACTCCTCCGTAGTATCATTACTGAAATAGTAGTAGCTACTATACACCAAGTAGTAACGGAAATTGTTTATTACTAAGTTTTTATTTATAAGCATTACCAAATAAAACCTTTTAGTGCTTCTGTGTCAATTACCTAATTAGTAAATAAATATGACACTGACTATCTATAATTTCATGAATTTTATTGTTTTGTTAGTATTCTGAGCTAAAATTATTTAAGTTACTGTAAAAGATTCTAGCACATTCTTATGATTTTTTTTATTTAATAAATGTAAACGTATAAATCAATGTTTTTCAGACAATGTTGAAAATTGGGGGCGGTGCGGTGTTATTGGCCGCTATAGTGGCCGTTTTCGTGGTCGCCACCCAGGGTCGAGACCCAGACCTTGAAGCCCTGGAGCAGGAAGGTCGTGAGTATATCATGCACCTGGACAAGATGGCCGGCTTGAGAAAGAACCGCGCATCACTCGCCGAATGGGCTTATACTTCTAATATCACTAAGGAGAATGAAGAAAATCGGGTACGTTTTTTAGTTAGCTATTAGTGGGTACTCCACTAAAAACTTTGTGACACCTCTTTTACACTAACCTTTAATATTTTGTATTTTGTTGACTTACTATATTCCATTACTATCTGAAATAAAATATAACGTATATATGTTTTATGTACAAACATATTATTCTATAAATAGACAGCGTATAAAAGTGTCAGTTGTAGTATCAAAAATAAAACTACTGCAAGTAAATTGCGAGTTGAGAACTCATAAAATGTAGATTAGCTGCTGCTTTTTATATAAAAGTACTATTCAATGATAATGATCTAGATATTGAAGTTTTATTAGCTTGATAAAAACTAGTTTGGATGAGAACTGCCAAGTGTGAGTCAGATGTCAGGGTTCCGTACAATTTTCTATAAAAAAAGAAACATTGTTCATTTTAAGCGAGCCTTAATATAAATTCTAAGTATAGACTGTAGCTTACGCTATTATTACACATTAAAATACAACAATTAACGGTTGAAAACGAATTTTGATTTTCACATTTGGGACAACCTTCATCTTCAGTCTCCCTGTGAGCGCTTCTGCTGCAATTTATTCGAAATGTCGAGCCATAGAAAAGAAAAATTAAGTAATGTTTTTCACATTTTACTATTAAACGGTTTTATTCTGTGACCTAGCCCACAGCACAGCCCTAGTTTATTGTTAGTAAGGAACTATCATTACTAACAATAAACTGGCCGTGTAATAGAATCCAATTTACACTTTGGGTACGGAACCCAAATAAAGATTTTTACTTTATTTTTACAGATCCAAGTTCAGCTGGAGATATCGCAACAAGAAAAACAGGCTTGGGAAGAAACTAAGATGTACAGGTGGCAAGACTTCCAAGACTTTTCTTTGCGACGCATGTTCAAGAAATACAGTCAACTAGGAGTAGCCGCCCTCCCCAATGACAAATATAAACAGCTTATGCTCTCGATATCAGGAATGGAGTCGAACTACGCCACAGCCAAAATATGTTCCTATAAGAATTCTAGTAAATGTGACCTATCTTTAGAACCAGGTAAGAGTTTTTCCAACAGCTCGCATGATTTTTTATCATATTACAGGACAGACAAACATTGGATTCACTTGATAGAAGGTGAAATATTCCAGCTATATAACATATCAAGATCCACCTATTTTGTCTTTGGATATTCGGAAATCTACAGACTATATTTGGACCCATTGGGGATCTGACTCAGGACCCAATAATTCGTAGCTTTACATCGCTACCATAAGACTAACGAACGCGTCTGATTATTATAAGTTTTAATTCAAAACATATTGTCCTTTTTCATTATTAGGATGTTGTTATACTTATACGTGATAATAATACAATCAATATGAATTCTAGATTTAACAGAAATATTCTCTAAGAGCCAAGACCCTGAGGAACTGAAATATTATTGGGTGCAATGGCACAAGGCAGCCGGCGCCCGCGCGAAGCAAAACTTCACAGAATATGTGCAACTAGATAATGAAGCCGCTAAATTAAACAGTTAGTAATGTTGCATACAATTTGAAGAATTTTATTGAATTTTATGATTTATTTCTAGAATGTCTCTGCTATATTATGTTTCATTATCGTTAAATTCCTCCGCTCCATAGATTTCGATGACGTTGCTGAGTGGTGGCAGTCTGAGTATGAAGTTCCTGACTTTGAAAAGCAGCTAGCAAAAATATGGGAAGATGTAAAACCCTTGTATCAACAATTGCATGCTTATGTAAGGAAACGCCTAAGAGATAAATATGGAGAAGAAGTTGTGTCAACAAAGGGTCCTATACCAGCTCATCTATTAGGTAAGTCTTGGCAAGGATAGAAGTAAATTATTGTTTAATTGAAATAAAAAAGATATTCATGCTTTGTCGTTGCGTTACTACATTTGTGGGAAAAGAAAAACTTAAGCATATTTTCTACAAAAAAAAGAAACCACAGAGCACACAATTTTGGTGCCACAAAACTTAATAACTATTCAACAAAATTTACTTAATTTTTAATTATATAACGTAAAAAGTAATTAAATGGTAAGTAAATATGTTCAATCCCTTTTCCGAGATGTAAATAATACATTCTTGTTGTAACATCTTAAGGCAACATGTGGGCGCAGACTTGGAACAACATAGAATCATTCACAAGACCATATCCAGATAAAAAAGAAGTAGACATCACGCAAGCAATGCAAAATCAGAACTATACACCACTGAAAATGTTCCGAATGTCCGATGAATTCTTTAGATCTCTCAATTTGACCGCTATGCCTGAAAAGTTCTGGAAGAATTCCATCATTGAAAAGCCAACGGATCGAGAAATCGTTTGCCACGCATCCGCTTGGGACTTCTACGATGGAGAAGACTTCAGGTATGTTGAAACTAACTTGTAATATATTCATATAGTATCGGCTCTTTTAGATGCATGATAGGCTACTTGCACGATAATATAACTAAAAAAAATAATAAAGCGATTACTCGGTCAATGATACAGGACCGCGTCTATGCTATTTTAATATATCTTAGGCTTGTTTAAAAAAAAGGGACTTGTCTTTGTTGAAAACGTGACCATAAACCTGGCAACGAGATTATGCTACTGGTAGCAATATTGCCACGTGATTAAATATGATGATGTAATAAATAGGCCTTTTTAATTTATAATTATTGTACGGAAAGAGAATTTCAGAAAATTTTACGTAGATTCTAAATTTTTGAAAACTTAAAAAAAATCTAAATTTTATTCAAAACTTCATTCTCATCATATATCAATGAACAAAAGCATCAAGGCCGGGTTTCATAAAATAGGAATGGTGGTGGTGACTAATATTTTTCCAAATTTATATCCTACATGTCTGGCTTAATTTTGAAGGATCAAACAGTGTACGACAATAGACTATGAATATTTCCAAACTACACACCACGAAATGGGCCACGTGCAATACTTCCTCCAATACAAAGATCAGCCAGTCGTCTTCCGAGACGGAGCTAATCCAGGTAATTAAACTATTTTATTTTAACAGGACCAAAATGTGTACAGTGGTGACCAAAGAGTATTTTAAAACGGTTCACCACGAAATGGGTCATATCCAATATTACTTGCAATACAAGGACATGCCCGTTGTGTTCAGGGCTGGTGCCAATCCAGGTGAATTTTGACATCTCCATAAAATGCCACAAGTATCTAATACTCTCATATTTACTAATTTAATCTAATTATGTGTCAAAAAAAAACATCAAAATAACTATTCTATTAACAATGGAACAGTGGAAGGCATAGATATGTTTGTGTCTACTAACTCCTGTGATTGTATTATGTTAGTGATCAATTTATTTTAAAAATAACATTATCAATTACCGACCAACTTTCCAGTTAAATTGCCCCTGGCCGACCTTTCAGATCTATCGCTTACTTCACTTATTCAGAAGTCATCGTGTGTTTCATTAAAGACAATTTGTAAATATTAATATTTTATTTTCAATTCAGGTTTTCATGAAGCTGTAGGCGATACCATCGCTCTATCGGTCTCATCACCTAAACATTTGCGTCGCGTTGGATTAACAAGTGGAGATGCGGAAGATGAGCAGACTGAAATCAACCAGCTTTACAAAATGGTAAGGAGCTAAAAATTCCATATGATGTTTGGGATCGTCCCAACTGCTACTACTATGTACTAAAAACTTTTTTTACAAAACACATAGATTAATTTCTTTTTTGTAAAACATATAAGAGACTATAAAACAATAATAAAAACTGAAATCATTTTTCTTCACTTTTTTCCTCACAACACTAATAAAAGCATACTTAGTAGAACTTCAGACGCTAAGGTGAATCAGATACTTTTCTTCTAATTTTACACTTTATTTCTATTTATTCCAGGGTATCGATAAGATTGTTTTTCTCCCGTTTGCGTACACATTAGACCTTTTCCGTTATGGTGTATTCCGTGGCAAAACAACCCCCGATGACTATAACTGCCACTACTGGAGATTGAGAGAAGAATTGCAGGGCGTGGAGCCTCCAGTGAACCGAACTGAGGAAGACTTTGATGCTGCTGCTAAATATCATGTTTCTGCTGATGTGGAATATGCAAGGTATCATAATTAAGTTTGTGAAACACAATAACAAGGTTTGAAACTATAAAACTTTTTACACAACTTTGTATACATTAAAAATCTATTTAAAATGAATAAAACTCACAACTGCTCGAACCAATTGTGCTATCGTGTCCTACACTACACACACTACACGTCACTGTCAAGTTTTTTTTACCTATTAATACAACCCTTGCGCAATGTAATTTCAACTTTAAAACATCAGCATGCAGCTTAAGAAATGAATGAAGATGAAATAACAAAGTTTAACCTTTGATAACTTTAATATTTTTCACATGTTAATGTAGAACGAAAAATATGACGCGACTGAAACTTTTTAATTTACTATAAGTAAAAGTAACAACTGTATAGGTATTAGAGGGTGTAACACATTCAATCAAAGTTTATCTTCTATTGAGGGTACGGAGACAGACTAGTATTTTTTAAGTTTTTTTAATACTCCTGTCAGGTGCATCGACAGAAAACGTACATAAAAAATGAAGCTTCGGTGCAAAAGGCAATAGTTGTATATTCAATATAGTTTTCTTTGAAACTTCTGCTTTCGATGTCATTAACAATGTAGTCTTATTCTAGATACTACGTCTCGTTCATCGTTCAGTTCCAATTCCATCGGGCTCTATGTCAAATAGCCGGAGAATATGTACCAGAGGATTTGACAAAGAAACTAGTCGATTGCGATATTTACCAGAGTGTAGCAGCTGGCAATGCCCTGTCGTAAGTACATTGCTTTTATTAAAATAAAAAAAGAATTTATCGTATCGTATTTAATCGTATTTAATATCATTATATTTATTTATTTAATTCTTCATTGCAACACATACAAACACAAAGTATATATACATGATTCCTTAAAATATTCTTAATAATACAATTTTTATTTAGATTATATTAGAGATTTACGTTTATTATAACCGAAATTTAACGATTTTGTTTTAAATGGCGTTGTATTTGAATGAATTAATGAATATCCATTATTTACGAACCAATAAACTTATCTTAAACTTAATTCATTAGATACCATATTAAAAAATATGATATCTAAAAAGGCTGTGGAAAGAATGATATTTATATTTTATACTGTACACACTGATGATACTATGTAATATTCAAATTGTTTATTAATGTTCATAGAAACATGCTGAAGATGGGTTCTTCTCGGCCGTGGCCTGATGCGATGGAAGCGCTGACTGGTCAAAGGGCGATGAGGGCAGACGGTCTCCTGGAATACTTTAGACCGCTACATGAATGGCTCCAAGCTGAAAATCAACGAACTGGAGAACACATTGGATGGGAGTCTAGTAAAATTCGTAAGTTTCCGAAATTTACTTAAGAGTAAATCTTTGAGTAATATCATAACTACACGAAGGCAGATTTAATTAAAAGTTTTTTTATTAAGTAGCATCCCTTTTTAAAAGAACGCATACAACTAAAGATTAATATGTGAAAATGATAATAGAATTAGTATAATCATGTTTTTTTATAAGAATTTATAATTGATTAAAACCGGGTCGACCAAAATGATTGTCACCTCGTGTATCGAAAATAAGATACTCGCGCTTATCGCAATAAAGAAATGGGAAACAAATTTAACGATTGCAATACTGCGGTTAAACCGTATTAACTAATATTGAAGTATTATTTACATTCTAAACCACTTATACCTCCATCCAACCTACCATCGCTCGACTAGACATCGCTTGGGCCTCCGTCCCCACGTTGTAGAAGTTCCAAAATCAAGAACTAAACGATTTTCATCGTGGTTTCTAATGAAAACATGTGATTGATTGACATTGGAACTCTCTCCCCATGTCAATCTTTCGAAGCGAATACAAATATTAATAGATAACTAAAAAATAAACGTGTTACAACATAATGTGTGCTTTCGCTTAACATCAGGTGAGGCACAGCCAAACGTTTACTCTTTACAATTAAAAAAATATATCCTTGATGCTTTGCAGCAGCCATGTTCACGAAGGGACTAGAGATCAAAATAAAAATAGATTTTCTTGTGCCTTTTGAATGATAAACGTTTGTTTTATTACAGAATATTGTACTGAGGAGCAGAAAGCGGCCCTTAACGCTAAAGAAACAAAGAACAGAACAGAAGCCGCGCACGAGTCGTGACGAACTCATTACATAATGTACTTAAATGTTATAGGCTAAATTATTTTAGGATGTCAGTATTGATATTATACGTTTTTAAAACACTACGTGTTTTATCTTCACGCACAACTCGAAACATTAAACGTGTCTTATAATAATGTAGACCAAATGTAACTGCTATAAAATTACTGGACAGGTTTTATCTAAGAATCAATGGAATGCTTCTATTATTGCCAGGCGAAGATCCGCGATACGACATATATTTTTTGCGAGAGTTGATATAATTTACTCGTGTTCACACCTCAGCCGAATATATAAAAAAAACGCATATACTATTTTGAAATTCCACAAATGTCTACATGTTACAGGACTAAGTTGACGAAAAAAAGAATGCAAATAATAATATTGTATTAACAAAGATACGGCTTATCATTGCTTTCGGGCTGTTCGCCGACGTTAGCAAGAAGAGGTTCTCTACATTTCGCCATCACCAGCGGACGGCATCATCAGGAGATGTTGTTAGCTCTACTGGGTGCGCAATTGCAATCCGCATTCTTCGAGCAATCAAGTTGGCCGAACAGCCTGAAAGACAATGATATACTTGAATGAAGGCGGTGAAAGCTTTACACATTCTATTAACTATACAGCTGTTTTAAGAATAAATAAAGAAAAACTCTTCGCCGAGTTCCGGAATCAAACTATGGACTTGTTTGTATAGATTTCTCTCGCTCGCCTTCGTCTGTTTATTAATTGTTTTTTATTACATTATACATATATATCACCTTAAATAATATAAGTAGTAATAAATTAAAATGGCTGTATGTTGTGTGTATTACTGTACTAGGAATAATGAATTTTTTATTTCTATTAGCTTACAACTTCAGACGATAAAACGGTAAATACAATTTGTTAAACGACACATAGTAGGTCAGGTGTAGCCTATAGGTGCCATTGTATCTGAAGGTAGGTACATAAGGAAAATCGTTAGTGTTGTGCCCCGACTTAAGATTTCAAATACATACTATCCTTAACTTGTTGGCTCATAGTTGGTTCGAACAGTTTAGTAAATGTACTGTACGGGTAGGGACATAGTACTATCTTATAGCATACATTTAATGACTTTATTATCTTGATCCGACAGCGTAAGGAACTAAGCAATATAATTCAAGTAAGGCATACCAACAATCACTACATGTTGTATGTATGTAAAGTAAAACATTGTTCTTCTTTTAATTACTTCATATCGCTATTAATACTTGAAGTCAGTTTAAATAAAACACTTTTAACTGTTTAAATTCAAAACACAATACACCATTACACCCTCCTTTTTTACGCCCCTTTATTTGTATTCAAGTCAGTTGTTTATAGATGGAGTTCCATAAACTCGTTTAATAAAGTTTGTCTAATAGACTAATATTTCTTGTCTTTATTGAATTTCAAAATATAACTGTAAATTAGTCTAACTCATACTTTGAATTATGATCGATTTACCAACACTAGACGACACTAGTTCGTTATTAATCACTGTTACGTGATACACGCGTACAACTCTATATCGTAAAACTAGTATTATAGGATAAACGTATTGGATACTTGAAAGCATTATCATTTTCGTAAGAGATTAGACGTTTATAAATACAAACTATATATCTCGGAAAGATTTAGTTGCGTCTGCAGTGGAGAGCATCGGTAAGTAAACAATGTATTTTTTTATTGTTTGTTAATTACATTTAATAGACTTTATAGTTTTAAATTATGGTCCATGTAAGTTCTTAGTCTTAATTGTTAAAGGGATTTTTTTGCTTAAAATTTACAGCAATTGAAAACAATATATTTTACTTGCTTGCATGTTACAATAGAATAATAGAAATTGTTAAGTTTTTCTACAAAGAAAGAATTTCAGATTCACTTGTATTTAAACGATAAATAAAAGACGACTTCATTAGCAGCTAGTGTGTCGTCGCCTTGTTGTCAGCCTCATTGGTTTCGGCCCCAGAATACAAACAAAAGGCTTCAAATCCCAAACAAGCATGACAAACAGGACAACACACTAATTCATTTGCATACACACAAATGCCTACAAAATGTGCGGATGTCAGTCTGTTTCTTAAAATTGTCGTAGCATAGTGTTTTGTATTAAAAATCAAAAATGCCTTGTGGATATTGCTCTGAAACCGCAAAGAAGGTTTTATTAGTAAGTGTGTAATAATTATAATAGTACAAACACGACGTTAGGAGCAAAATATTTTTTAATTGTGGATACTCGTTTCTCGAACTTTCCTCTTGATAACGCAATGCAGTCCTATAAGATCTTAAATAATAAAAAACACATCTTTAATATCTAAGATAAAGATAAGATTATGTCAGAATTTCGTAATACGTTTTATCTATTATCTCGATTCGAACGTTAACCAAAGCCGATGCGACTTTTATTTATCGTAATCAAACAAAAAATACTTAGGTACTTACTTACTTCGTTGGTACAACTACTCGAGTTGTCTCCGATGGTAAATAGCGCCATTTTAGATGAGCTTGTCCGTCGGGTACAATGAGCAAGTCTTCATGGTGTCCTTCTAGGAATATCTAGGCCAACCATCAGGTCGGCGGCCGGTGGGGAATCCGAGATACGCTTTCTTGTCACTCCGATTAACTCCCACTCTCTCCAAATAGCCACTCTTACGAAACCAAATAAAGAAAATAAAACAACATGATCAAATAAAAATTCTTCATTCGACTTAAAACATTGACGATTTTTTACGTCTGTTATGTTTTTCACAATGTAAATTCGTGTATACACGAATAATGTATGCTAAAGTACGTATTGTTCTCTCTAAAATAAATCAATAAAAACCTCGATTTAGATCAGCAACAACAGCAGTCATTGTGACCACCTTGACATTAATGCATCTGTTTTTGCCTGGTATGAAACTATTTATAAAGCATACAATATTTTATTTAGCCTGCTGGTCTATTTGTTTACTATAAAATACGGACTATTTACCACTGCAAACACGTACAGCACAAATCGAAAGTATATATATAACTAAAAGCGTAGTGGCAAAGTAATAGTAATTCTTTGTTCTCTTGATGTAGATAGTACTCTCATTAAAGAAGTAATTTAATTACATCTACAGATGGTCATGAAGATCATCGGAGAATTAGCCCTGCTGGGCGCGATAGCGTCCGTGTTCATTGTAGCAGCACAAGGTCGCGCGCAGGAGAGAGCTGCGGAAGAAGCATCAGGGCGGGAATATATGAGAACTCTTGATGATGTTATGGGAAAGGCAAAGAACCGAATGTCTTTAGCGTCATGGGCGCTGGACTCTAACATCACCCAATACAATGAAGATAAACTTGTTAGTTAAATGTTTTTGGCTACAAAAAGTTTATGATATTAGTGCGTTCGTATTTCAACTGAGTAAACGAGTTTTTTTTTTCAGTTACAAGTATCATTAGAAATTGCCGATGAAGAAAAGGAGTACTGGAAGGAAACAATGACATATGCATGGCATGAGTTCTACGACGAAGATCTGAAACGTATGTTCAAAAAATACTCAGTGTTGGGTACTTCGGCACTACCAGAAGATTTGAACCAGAGATTGATCCAAGCAATCAACAATATGAAGTCAACATACGCTAAAGCGACTATCTGTGATTATAATGAACCTACAAAATGCGATCTGACTATTGAACCAGGTAACCATTTTCAAATAACTGCTTTAACATCTATAAAAAAAACAATATGACGGATTAAAAAAAGCAATATATAAAACGTTTTGGAAAGCAAACTAAAAACAATATCTTTTACTTTTCAGGAGTAACAGAAATATTTGCCAATAGTCAAGATGCTGATGAGTTGAAACATGCGTGGTTGGAATGGCATAAGGCTGCCGGTGCTGCATCCAAAGCTGATTTTACCGAATACGTTAATATGTATAATGAAGCTGCAAAACTGAACGGTAAGTTTAATTCTTTGTAAAATATTTTGATTATTATTTATATAATTGTGGAAAAGGCCAAATTCTAATATCAGATTATTAACGATGTGTTCTTAAATTTTCCAGGATTTGATAACGTAGCTGAGTGGTGGCTAGGTGAATATGAGACTTCAGATATTGAAGAACAACTCGCTAATCTTTGGTCTCAAGTCAAGCCCCTCTATGAACAAATCCATGCCTATGTCAGGAGACACCTAAGACTAAAATATGGAGATGACGTTGTACCTGCTAAAGGCCCAATTCCCGCTCATTTACTTGGTAATTGTAAATTAAATCAACACCTACTATAAATTTTTAGCAATGTTTGCATGATATGTTTAGCGAAACTCGCATAAAAGTATGAAATGTGTATGCAATAAAATCTCTCAATTTTAGGAAATATTTGGGCACAAACTTGGAGCGGCGTCGAAAAATTTACGAAACCGTTTCCTGACAAACCAGATGTGGATGTAACAGATGCCTTAGTAAAACAGGTACCTTTCAAAATGAAGAAGAACATTAAGCTGTGTAATTTATAATTCCTACAACCTTCTTTTTTTTCAGAATTATACACCATTAAAGTTCTTCGAAATGTCCGAAGACTTTTTCAAATCGCTTAATTTGAGTGGCATGCCAGAGTTGTTTTGGGAGCGGTCAATTATAGAGAAACCTAACGATGGCCGAGATATGGTGTGCCACGCCTCAGCTTGGGATTTCTTCGATGGTGAAGATTTTAGGTATGTCTCCTGAGTAAATACGAAACCATAATTGTAATGCATTTTATACTAGGTAACACGTTGCTTTTCAGAATTAAACAGTGCACAACGATTACAAACGCTTTCTTCAAAACAACGCATCACGAAATGGGTCACATCCAGTACTACTTACAATATAAAGACCAGCCAATCATATATAGAGCTGGAGCTAATCCAGGTTTGTTCATAGTTATAAACTTATTTTTATACCCATTCATCAGGACACATCCTCAGTTATTTGTAATCTATTTCAAATGTTTTAAAGGTTTTCATGAAGCAGTGGGCGACGTGATTTCTCTATCTGTAGCAACACCTAAACATTTAAAATTAGTTGGTCTACTTGAAGATGGGCCCGATGACAACGAGTCTAATATCAACCAACTTTATAAAATGGTAAATATCTTATTAAAACGCTTTTGCATTTTGCCAAAATAATGTATTCAACTCATTTAGGATTCTCATTTAGAATTATTGCTATTGATGTATTTCTTTTACGGCTTGAAAGGCAAATACTAAAGAAACAACAATAATCCTGATTTTATGGATTGTTATATATACAAATATTTATATATTATAATTTGACCTCCTCTACTTCACTCAACGTGCCAAGAGAAATTGGTGTAAAAATTGTATCTACCTTTTCTTATAGGGTTTGGACAAAATAGTTTTTCTACCATTCGCATATCTACTGGATATCTACCGATACGGAGTTTTCCGGGGAGCGACATCTCCTAACGACTACAATTGTCACTTTTGGCAACTAAGAGAATCTATTCAGGGTATTGAGCCACCAGCGCCAAGAAGTGAAAATGACTTTGATCCGGCTGCTAAGTACCATGTTTCTGCTGACGTTGAATATATGAGGCAAGTAAACAGTAGACCTCTGGAGTCTGATTCACTTCAGTGGACAAGTTCAAAAATTGCTGATTATTTTTTTTCAAATCCGCTCGAGAACCGGCTACTGCTGGCAAATAAGTCACAAAGTTCTAACAACTGATTTTGATAACAGTTGCCGTTAACAAAATGAGAGTCCAAGCTCAAGCCTATTCCTGTTAGTTGATAGTTCTTTATTCTACTTAAACCGTTTAACCATTACCTACCCTACCGTAACTTAATAATACCGATATTTGGAACAGTCATGTTTTGACGCCCCTGGAACTACATTTCTCGGTTGAGACAGTAAATAATATAACTACTATTATACCTTTACATTACGCAATTACCAAAATTACGTATTCATCGATCATCAACTAAAATGTTTGATAAATAAAACGCGTTTTATAAGTTTTGATTAGAGAGGTTGTTCAAAATTCGAACACTTAATAATAAGAGTTCGATTTTTGGATTTAAGAATAATTTGTCCTTATCTGCTTGTGTATCTTTGTCTAAATTTTATGGGCAACAATGCAACCGTAACGTATCCATTACTTAGTACTTGCGCAACATCTTTATTGTTATAGATTTCTATAACTAAGCAAAATATATGTCATGTCATGATGTGTAACTTAAATCATTATTCTTTTCAGATACTACATTTCTTACATAATCCAGTTCCAGTTCCAACGATCTCTGTGCCAATTGGCCGGCCAATACTCCGCTGGAGACTCATCACAATTGCTGTCTAACTGTGACATCTACAACAGTACTTCAGCCGGTAATGCTTTGAAGTAAGTAATCTTTACTTACTGACACAAACATACACACGTCAATACACTCAAGCCAAGGCACATGCCTTACCTCATATAAAACACACAAATCCACTTATCTATCTATCTATCGCAGGATTCTAAAACCAAGTTATTTTTCACAAATCTTAAGACAAATCTCTCGTAAAAGCAGTGTTTAACACGAAATACTTTGATTTTTACAGAAATATGTTGAAGTTGGGCTCATCAAAGCCCTGGCCAGATGCTATGGAAGCCATAACGGGACAGAGAGACATGGATGCTAGTGGCGTTATGGAATACTTCCAGCCTTTGTACGACTGGTTAAAGCAAGAGAATGAACGTACGGGAGAGCATATCGGGTGGGAGTCGAGTAAAATCCGTGAGTACAACATTTTTAATAAATGCTCGTCGGACTTGGTCTAGTGTATGGTAGATTACCAATGGGTCGTGGTCGACTAACCACTCAGTTATATTCCGACGGGATCCCAACCGTAAATGACAAGACGTTTATACCAGCTCAGTGTTTATACCCAAAATAGACTTGTCAATCCCATATTTCTCAAGCAAATTCAAAAGTGAAAACAATACTGTGATTAACATTTTTTTCCAGAATATTGTACTCCAGAGCAAAGGAGCTACATGGATCAATCCAAGTTCAAAACAATGTTGATGAAGTATATGAAGAATTAAATATTATTTCTACCACTTTAAAATTAAGCACTGATTGCCAGTAGTTTCCATAAGTATATATTTAGTAAAACATTTTTAACGGAATTTTAAGCCGTTGAAAGTGTTTTACTTAGGAAAAGGCCTATTGAGTCGAATTCGTTTTTTCATTGTAATATTTAAGTGTTACATAATTTGTACATATATCAAAGTTTTTATTTGCTTATTGTAATAATATTTAAGGAATAAAACAGCTTATTTATTTAACATCACAATTCTTGGTTTTATAATTGATCAGTGCCTGTCTAATTGAGAGATGTAGTCATCATTTTCAATCAATGGTGAGTCATTTTAATGGAAAAGAATTACGTAATAATGTTCTTAATCAATTCTTTTTTATTTCAATGGAGGGAAGTCACACAATCAGCCGTTTCAGATTCAGCCGTGACCTAGCGAGTGACAAATTGAAAAAAAACTATTTGAAAAGGATTACGTGATTCGACTTTTAAACAAAACTATAGTGACATTTACGTTTTTGTTTATAGTCACTATTAAAATCTTATTTTGTTAAGATTATATCAGACAATATATTTCACATGATGGCACCATATAAATTAAAAATTAGCTGCTTAAAAGGAGGTGACATGGTAGCTCTTCTGTGGATACTAGTTCAAGTCCTGCCCGTGTAGGATTTTTTTCAATTTATAACCGATTTTTAATTTATAACGAAATTCTAGAATTTTCCTAAATCCTCATTTAATTTAATCTCTATTCTTCACTTAAAAATTCGAATTTCTTTTACTTAGAAAAAAAGAGAAAAATTCTAGGTATATTGATATCAAAACACGAACAGGCCTTTTGTCTTTCTGTCATAGTTTTGTACTATACAATAAACAAAAAGTACTGTAACATAAATCAAAGCTATAAAAAACAAATGAAACTGGACACTTATTCAAAACTACTTGCCTGTGGCCTTTAATCATTTCAATATGACTCACTTTACAGTACAAATAAATCAAGTCTGTTTTTTTCTTTCATCTAATATTTATTCTTTTAATCTATACTAATATATAAAGACGAAGAGTTTGTTTTTTTGAACGAACTAATCTCAGGAACTGAACTTTCGAATTTTTTAAAAAATAACTTCTAAGAACGACGGGACCAGAAGGACGGGACGCGTACGACAAGATACGAACTACTTGGGTACAGCTTTAATTTATAAAATTGAGGAGGGAGTTCGCCAAAACAAATCTTGACACCCAAAATAACTACCCTATGTGGACGAAGTCGCTGGCACAGATAGTATATTATATGAAGCGATATGATAAATAGCGTATAAAACAAAAAGTGTTGAAAGGGAAATTTAGAAAAATGATATATTAATAAAATGGATCAGTAAAGCGGACATAGAAATATGTTCTAAAGCCACACGTTAGGATTCACTTATCTTTTCCATTATGTCGACTTTTCCGAGGTCGTACATGGAATCCACTGAAAACCTATAAAATCTCGACCATTAACAAAAACAACATTGTTGAAGTCATCAAGCAGTTAAGCTATGACAAACTACTTCAAGGTACGCGTCATAATAAAAATCAGAACTACATATTTATTATGCGCACGAGTACCCACGAAATGGCTCATGTCTAAGCAATTGTTATTTCAAGGTTAACCATAAAAGGGGGAAGCTAGTGGATCATTGGTTCTTAATCTATAGTATAATTAGTATTCATCTAATTAGATTTTAAAAATTGCTTTAAATCGTAGACGAAGGTTCGATTCCAGCCATCATAGAAGTTCGGTAGTACAGAGCATAGAAGTCTGATAAATTAATTGTCTAATGTCTGTAAACTTATTATTTTTTACATGTTATTGCACATGAAGCAGATACTATTTAAAAATCGAAAATAAATTGAAAAAAATTACTGAATGAGCTGTCTGGTACTCAATTGGTACAGGAAGGAACGTGAGATCTGTTCAAGTCTGCCGATCGAAATTTTTTAAAATTTATTTTATTTTTAAATAATTGTTAATTAAAATATCATTAAAATAATAAAAGAAAAGCTTAAAAATTTCAATCATATTCTAGTCATATATGAAATCGTGTTTAATTGAAAATGTCGTAAAGTTTAATTCCGATTCTGTTCTAGTCTGTGTTTTTCCGAATATCTGAAGGAAAATAAGTCAACAGCGCATCTTATCAGATGTTACGTGGCTGGGGTAATTCTCCGTCCATCAATTAAATTCCCTATTGTCCTCATCATAAATAAAAATGACTTAGTGGCACAATAGTTTAACTGAGCATTAAGCACAAGAAGGACCTGAGTTCGAGGGCCCCGAAAAGATTTTTGTTCAAATCTAAGTCGAACTACCCCTTTTATAGAATCTCTCTGTCTGTTGTATTTAATGTATCTAATTGTTATCTAAAATTCATGTAGAAGCCTTATCTAATATATAAAAAATAAAAAAATTCAAAATAAACATACAAAAATACATACAATCCTCAATTTTCACCCTTCGATCCTACGATCAACCCTATGATCAACCCTTATTTTTTAATAGACATTTTAGTAATTTTTCGCAATTATTTATATGACAAAACAATTCGGGTCAGCTAGTAACTTATGTATATATATATCTAATAAGGTTTGAAATTGAAACCCTATACGATTGGTATGGTACCTTCTAGTTTCTTGCTTGAACGACGACGAAAAAAGCATTATTATCTGTATTTTGTATGCGATGCATAACAACTTTAATGCTATACTTGAGTGTAGAATTATCATACTACATGGCTGTTCCCACGGTAACTAGGACAAAAGGAAAATTGCTTATGATGTCAAGATGTTTCACGCATTATGGAGTTTTCATTTGACTTTGAAAAGTAGAATGACATAAATTATTTAGTTTTATTATGTGCATACTAAAAAATGATATCCCGTTTTCCCTAAGACCCCCAAATCAATTTTGTTTACAGTAAAAAATCATTATGCATATTTTTTTTAAATTACATCCCCGGAATTGGTTACCCGAGCTTTTAAATAAGAAGAATATAAAATTTAGAAAACTAAAAAAATGGCTAGTGATATATTTGTATTTATGAAATATATCAACAAATCCGCGACGCTATAGTCTAATTTAAAGATAAACTTGCAAGAATGAGGGAAGGTACTTTAAGACGTGTGTTGAGTAATGAGTTTATAGAATGAAGAGTTTGCAAAAACGAATCTTGGACGAACAAAATAAATATTCTTAGCGGATTCTAAATCTAGTTGACTCAGCTCCAATTTCAAATATTTTTGGAATTTCAACAGTGGTGTACAAGTATATACTTACTATAAAGTGTTTCGACCTATTTGAGGTCGTGATTGGAATAAGTCCATGTAGGTGTGGTTACGTATATCAAATAAATGTCTAAACCTAGTAAGTTCAGTGAGTAGTACTAATTGTAAAACGATGTTCAACCAGCATACGTGCCTTACAAAATCCTCTTATGCTCATTATTTCACTTTCATTTTGTTAAAATGTGTGGTTCTTTGGAGCCTTATTAGTGTCAGAGGTGGGTCAAAAGTTGAGTAACACTTTGTTCGGTCCTAACGTTTAGTAATTCATAACTTCCTGGTGTAATTTTCCGGCCCTTGAAGAAAATTTTTGAATATTATTTTGAAAAGCTCAAGCTAACTTTAATTAGTCGACATAAAATGTATAGTTGTTCAGGAAGTAAGTTAATTACATTTTTAAACTTTTAAAAATCGAAAATAAATTGAAAAAATGGCCAACTCGGGCAAGACTTGAACCGGCATCGTCAGCGTTCCGTGCTGTTGCTCTCGTGAGATTTTTTGTTTTTTTAATTATATAGTGCCTTCAAGTGCAATAATATGTAAAAAATATTAAAGTTTTCAAATATTTAAACCTACTTTGCTACCTTTAAGAATCACAGTATAATTATTTCTCCTTACTTTTTAAGTAGTTGTGACTTAGTCGTGTGTGTTATGTCATTTTATCCTTGTGCATTTTAATAAATCAGGACTACATTATGTTCGGTTAACTTTCCGATTTCTCGTTTAATGCTTAAATAAAATAGATCAAAATTTAAACAAATAGTTAAATAACAGTCGAGACTAATTATTTAAGGATTAACAAGATAACTTTTAAAGTTGTGCACATCTTATGAATAAGATTCATAAGTAAGAAGAATAGTTTTTAAATAATAATTATGTAAATTTAATTATGTACTATAGTTGGTAAGCCTTTTAAAAATAAATAAACACACATTTGGCGTTACTATATAAAAATGCCGACATTCTTCTTGCAAACATTCGCTTTGGTCAAAGCCAAATGTTTTTAATAATTGAAGTATTAAAAAACAAATCTTTGTTCATAAGGATATGATCCATAATATATCCGTAGATCTATGTTTGGAGGTTCCCTCCCAGTCGACCAAAATAATGAAATTAACTACCACCGTCAGAGAACTGCGAATTATCTTTACCTATGTACACAAGGTCCAACGGCGTACTTGGACAGACGAACAGAAAACAAAGCTAATTCACACGGCCTGAGCTCAAATCAGCGTCAAACCAAACACAGTTGTCGACGCGAGTGCAACCAGGTACCACGCACCATTGCTTACAACCGACGTCGCGATAGCAGAACACCATCAGGGCGTTGATAATAATCTAGGACTACCTCTGCCAGCAATGGCTTGTGTTCAGGCGAGAAAAATTCTAAGCCTCTGGCTCCGTCTCACACTTGTACCGATATTTGTTTTTGCTAATCCGCAATTAGATTTGCCACCCCTACCACAAGTATCAAGTACTCAAAGGAACCCCTACGGTTTCGGTATATCAAGTACGCAGTCGAACTTACCTAGTAATTTCGACGCGAACAGAAACTTCCAATACAGTACAGCGCGGCCACAAGCTGTGTCTTCTGGTTATCCATCAACGACCATCAGTGGTATCACCCCGGTGATCAGCAATAACGGTTATCCCATCAACTTTGGAAGCGGGCCGAGCTCGACCCTTAGACCGTTTGACGATAGAAATCGCGACGACCGCATCGATATAAACAGTGATCCAAATTTTCGCCGGAATGATCCAAATTTTGCCCGCAACGATCCAAACTTTGTAGGCGCGAGTCCCTTTGATATAAATAGAGATTTTAATACGAATAGCATCGATAACAGGGTGAATCAAGTGAGCTTGAATCAGATAAGGGATTTTCTAAAGCAAGCTGATGAACAGGCTTCGAAGGAGTGCACGAACAATGTTGCAGCGCAATGGAATTTCGAAACCGACGTAAATGATGCAACGCAACATGCTGCGGTAAGAAAACCCTTAGTAATTCTTACTCTCTTTAAGAGGATCTCCTTACAAATTATTTATTATATATATATATATATATATATATATATATATATATATAATAAAAAATAAATAAATAAAAAACCGTTTATTATCACAAAGTACATAATTTACAATTAAAATAAGTAAAAAAAGCGTAACCTTACAATTAAAAGAATACAAAAAAAAAAAAAAAAATGTTAACTTTGTGCTAAAAAGGCATCAAGACTCAGCATGTGCTCAGAAGGCTTGCTAAGCGCTGATTTTCAGTCTGTCCCTATCAGATAACAAGTAGTACCAAAACATATAAATATTGTGGAAAAGTTGTAAAGAACTTAAAAAACTATAATTATGACTTACATAAGTGGCAGTGCGAATGCAAAACTATTGCGTAAGTAAAAGAATACTAAAGAGAATAAAAGATATTTTCAATGGTTTGTTGTTAAGGTCATATGTACTTAGTCGAGCTAATTTGGAATTTCATTAATATGTCGCGGTACTTTTTTTTAAAAGTACTTTCAACCGTGCATTTCCTTAGTGGAGGAGGTAGACTATTCCAAATTTTGCTCGCTTTTATAGAAAATTAAATAATGGAGTATGAAATATACGTCATATATATATATATATATATATATATATTGACGTATATTTCATACTCCATAATATATCCTTTTTCAAGTCACATAATTTGACAGTTGTGTTATAAGGAAGTAGCCCTTCAAATATTTTCATTACAAATAAATTTTACTAAAATCATAAGCAAAGAATATCTTTTCGACAATGTCTTATTAAGAAAATGCTTAGATTAAGAATTGTCTTCAAAGAATATCTTGTATTTAGATACCTAAAAAAAAGATATGTTTACATATGTTGACCGCCTCTGTAGCCCATATCTTGAACGTATTACGTCGCATTGCGTTAAGCGCGAGTGGTTGTAGTTCCCAATCCCGGGAAAACAATAGATTACTTCGCGCGGGCAGGGCACGGAAGTCCCATCAACTATCTGCCTGTAAAAGGGCCGATCAGTGAAACGGACACAGAAATGTGTTCGCCCCCTGTTAAACGAGGGGAAACGGAATTTCACTTATGTTTCCCTAGAGAAAATGTTGTAAAATATATGTATATTATAATTTAAGAAAATATGTAGCCAACGTTTAAGACGACGTGCAAACGAACTGTATTGTTTCATGGGAAAATAATTTTCTATTCGCTACGATGATGATGGGTACCCGGAATAATAGATTGAGAAAACAGATTATGAGATCTCTATACAGCCTTATAAGATATATGAGTGTTTCTAAAGATTCCTGACAGAAATAGTGAAAATACTCAATATCTAGATTGTGCAATTTTCAATAGAACCGAAAAATAACCATTGAAAATCGTAATTCGTAGTAAGGTATTCATTACTTAATAATATTATATTTCATCCGTGAATACCATAATTTAGTATTATACATTCAAACACAAAAGAAAAACCCAAGTTATTTATACATATAAAACTGTAACGCATAAAAGATTTATTCATTTAAAAAAATATATTTTCGATTTTTTCACATAAGCTGTAATCGAACCGACAAGACAACGCAATTACTACTAACATCCTTTGACCCGCCTTAGTAATCAATTATTTCAATTGTTCTTAACAAACGAGCAAAAATTTAGTATTGCTAGCAGTATTAATGTTTTGCAAATGATTCAAATAGTTTGCCTATATTTAAATAAACACTTTACGGTTAAACGTGATAAATTAACAGAAGCTATTTGTAACTTTGGTATTTTTTTTCTTTTTTTTTGTTTTTTTTGGCGCCGGGAGAGGTGACACCGCGGCTGCCGAACAGGCCCCACAGCCCGGCGGCGAATTAAAAAAAGGTACTACTCGCGAAACTATAGGCAGTATTTAGTTTGCCCTATAGTTTCTCGTGATAAATAACAGAAGCATTGTGATTGACTTAGGGCAGATAAAATCTATTGTGCTAACATGCAGTACCGATTTAAGTCAATGTTAAGGTCAAGTGTATAAAAACAATTATCATATAGGATAAACAGAGTCACGAACTATTTACATCCACCACGCCAACAAGTTCCCACGATCATAATTCATAACAATAATGACTAACCAATCTATATATAATATACCATGTATCGATTACAAGATGTTAAGAAACAAATTCAGGCTTTACAAACACATGTTTATATTATATGTATTTTCAGATAATGTAGTAAGAACCATTTTTCTCTTAGGATACAATATGGGGCTTAATGTATTCTGCAATTTTTAAAAACTTGGTAAAAAGTATTGATGTATAAATTCTTTTCAAACGTATCATTGTTTTTCGGGCTGTTCGGACAGCATCATCAGGAGATGTTAACTCCCCGATTGCTTGAAGAATAACCGCGAGAACCTCTTCTCTATCTCGGCTGAACCGCCCGAAACACAATGATATGCTGAAAGATGGCCGTGAAAGCCTTATATACAATTTTCTGTACTTCAGTAATAAATTGAATGACGTAAACGAATATAAAACTGAAAACCATACATAATATATGAGCGTTTTGTTTATTCAATGAAAAAATTTATTAAACGTCCCGCTTCAATATTTCATAAGTTAGTACAATTACTTATTAGCGACCTAAATCCTGCAATTTTCATAATCTATAACATGTACTCACGAAACACAGTAAGTTACGAATTCCTAACTTCCATAAAAACTTGTAACACAGTCGTTTTACTTTTATTGTCTGCTACAACAATAGACTATAATGACAGGATGTCCCGACACCAATCGATACGCTGACAATTTTATTTTGAGCCACGTTGCAAAACTATTTTTCCGAAAACCGTAGCCTCTATACAATAATTATAATTTTTTTTTTCATATTATTGTTTCAAGCAGCTCATTTTTTATATATAATTTATATTAGAGTTAGTTTAAGTATGTATATATGTTCTATACATATTATTATAAATAAAAATTGACAATAATAGAAGTGAATTCTTCTTTTAGTACTTGTTATCATTATAGCTGTCTTAGTACAAGCATTTTGATGTTTTAAAAGTACCTAAACTTTTTTAAATACATTTTTAACGTACACGAGACAAAGTATTGCAACGGAAAAGTAAGAAGAAAAAGGGGTAACAAAAGTGAGCCAATAGTTATTCTGATTAACTTGTAACAAAGTACGAATGCCATTTTTTGTCACCACCAAATACAATGGTCGATAAAATCCATATTTTCGTGATGTTGCCTTGGTACATTTCTCACGGTCATGACACTGAATATAGGATTTTTTGCCTAACTAAAATAATTCCAGTTGGAATGATTTAGTTGATTAATTCGGCTTAAATTCTTATAATACGTCGGGTTGTGGAAAGTTCATTGATCTAAGATGTATTTTTACGAGTGAGTCTTTGTAAAATATACTTACATTGTTTATCAAGAGCAATGTAAATTTAAATAAAATACTTTTAACGGTTTAAAACGCGAATGGTACTAGTTATACTTTACTTTAACTATGGCGGACCTTTCGGATACGATGCTTTGCAGCAGCCGCGGTCATGGGGGGGACTGAATATGTATGTATGTAACTGTCACACTCAAATTTTGCTACGCTAGCGCCACCTGTTTCCTCTTAGTTGGTATTTGGATAAACTAGCTGGGTCCTTACAGAAATGACTCACAATGTCCTCGTTTTTCGTTATACCGTTTAGTATCTAATATGCAAGCTCCAGTTCAGTCGTATATACACCATTTACCATAATGTAATACCAATGTAATAAAGTCATATTTTACTAGATATGTACCAATTTACTATTAACACTGCCCACACTATTTATCTTCACGCTAATTGATGACTTTTCAACGCGATCCTGACCTTACCTTGCCAGATTTTTACATTCAGATTCACTAATAATCGTATACTCTATAACAAGTACAATAAAGTTCAAAGTCGTACTATATTATCAGAACCAAATGCAAAATCATAGAATTGTATGAAACAGTTACATAAAGAAAGACTCATGCCTAAGCTGAAAGGTTTACTTTGGTTAACAGCTTTGTACTTTTTTTACGCAACTGTACTTCTGTTTGTAAACTTGAACTCAATTTGTTTTGTGAATGAACTTGACAAATAGTTCTTTTAGTAGGCTATGTAGTTAATAAAGAATAAGATACACGGATAGTGAAATGTATGTACCGCTAACTTAAAACAATTACATAAACATAGAAATTAAGGAATCACTATGTAAATAAAAACAGAGTATACTTATACATTTCTTTTAATTGTATTAATGATTTTATAGGTTCTGCGAATCATTAAAATCCTATATTATTTACAGATACATAACTTCTTGGAGGCTTAGTTATTTATTATTTGAACTATGACGAGTCGAATGCTTTTAAGCAGTCGTCGCCACTAACCGTAATATACTTAGTTTGTGATTTAAACTTTTTATTTCATATAGCTAGCTGGCTTTAATAAAACATCAGTTTTCCAGTAAATCTTCTTTTAGTATCTACGATTGATAGTTTTTACCCTCTTGAGGAAACCATATTTCTTTTTTCTGATCTAATCTACCTAGTACATGGATAATTGGAAATACACTTAGAGCAACACATGGAAAACACCCTACATCCCGTGTCACAAAATTCCAGCTTCTGTATACTTTTATAACAATTAATAATTTTTCGTAAATCTTGTCTTGTCGTCACGTTATGCTTGCGAAACCAACATACCGTGTGCGAACGTCCTCCAAAACAATGGAACCACGATGCTGTGAGAAATACGTCTTATTGTGCCTCGTCATTGAAAAATCTCAATTACCTATGTTAGATAATGCATTAAGGAAGTCTTTTAACATACGACATTATGAATAATGTGTTGGACATTGAAAGACAACTACAATCTAAATATTTTTTGGTCGTAAGGGGATTATCGTCAAGACGCAATGCAAAAAATATTGCCCGCTTTGATGTAATGAGTTTGTTTTTTATCAAATAGCGAAGCTATTTTATCTTTTATATGTGATTATAGTCCATTACCAATTCTCATTTATATTTATTTAATATAATATAATACTGTCTGTAATTTACCCGAGTAGTACACATTGAAATAAAAAAAAATTTTAACGGTTTAAAACGCGAAATATTTTAGTTATTGTCATATTTTTTCCGCCCCCCCCCCCTTTTCGGGCGCTTTGCATCAGCTTTGGTCCCGGGGAGAACACAGCCGGTATTTCGAATTAAACTATACATTAATTTAAAAAAAAAAAAAAAAAAAAAAATTTTCAAGCCAGTCTTATCTTTAAATTTACCCTATCCAAAGACAAATCCTATCCAATATTAAAGAAGCAAATATCATCATCATCGTTACTATCATCAGTCCGTATTCGTCTACCTTAATAGTCTTTGACGCATCTCCCAAGAAAAGCTTGGCCTTCTGCAAATACATAGACTATTCAGAAATATAAATGTATCCGTTCTGTACTATGACTGTTATTGTTCAATGAAGTTAATTGAACGTAAACACGTTTTAACTAACTACAATAACGTATAAACCGTGGGAATTTGAATAAACTGTATAATACTTATAACATTTCCATTTATAACATACAATGTATTTTTTATGTTTCAAAATGTTTAAATTTTCTTAATAATGCCGACGGGAATTCAACTGAGGGCTGTGGGTGTACGGTGGCCATACCTTTACTAAATGTTAAGATAATATGTAAGTGGTAACACGTATTACTTTACTGCCCAACAGAAGACTTCAACGAGCCAAAAGATTTCCAACCTGTTAAAATTAACACATACAAAGACACCCTCCATTCTTAGTCCCCCCCCTGGCCACCGTTGCTGCAAAGCATCCGAAAAGTCGGGCCGTAGTCAGAATAATTTCAAATATTTAACCAATATATATCACGTTTTAAACCGTTAAAGTATTTTATAATTTGTAGTACTCGCGTAAACTACATACCTAATACACCAAAATTTGTCGCAATTTAATTCAGAATGTAACGGTGATGTTTGTCTCAAACGTCAACAAATATATTTCCTCTCCTTTTTTATCTTAAGAAAATAGTTTTTTTATCATATATTCTTGTAGTCAATCACTATTATGTCACGAATAATTACGACGGCAAATTAAAGTCATTCTTAGTAATTAGCTGTTTTGAACTTGGCCGTGTCGGCTCGGAACAATTGAGATTTTCCGCGATTATCATCTTAGCACAACTAAGGTCGGAGTTAATGAAATAAATATAAACGCTAATGAAAAAACACAAACCGCATCCATTTTATTCAATACAACATTTGTATACCAATAGGTATTGTTGTCAGGTAATAGACAATGTGTTAAACTCGAGTAGTTCTGGGTTTGATCCTGAGAAAACATAATTGTTTCGTTTGGGCATAACATTTTAATGTACTTTATATAAATAAGATCAGTGAAACAGGTATATGTGTCAGTCTTATGAGGTGCTTTATGTTACACACTTACAAATCTACCAACAATAAGTTGATTTTTATTTCCTTGTATCCATACGTCAAATACTGTATTTGACTGTAGATGAAATTGTCAAAGACTATTGAGTATGTCAAAAATAAATACTGTCTGTAGCTTACGCAAGTAGTACACAATTAAATAAAACATTTTAACGTTTTAAAACGCAAAATATATAAGTAAAACTTAATCTTAACTTGAAGTCAAAAAATATGCTTTCTTCCTTTTCTCACTAAGAAACTAAATGACGGATAAAAATTGGCAGATATTATACGATGAACGCAAAAAACAATAATAAAATCACTCCGTGTATTGTGATCAACTACCTTATTATTATCGTGAATCACATGACGTGACAGATCACCATCATCAACTTTATCACGGTATCTGACTCATGTCTAATAGATATAATTATCAGAGCAATCGTTGTTTTACATACAATTCAGTAAGCCATCTGTACTTAATATTATTTTTGTTCTAGCAAAATTACTGCTGTTCAGTCTAGTTTAAACGACAAAAATATATTTTAGTTCTCATCACTCTTGTTTGTTTTAACTCATGTAATTGAATCGACAGCAAAAAAAAACAAGTTCCCATTAAATGTACGTAACAAAAACAAATGTATTTATAAAATTAAATGGAACTTAAAACTATATACCAAGCATGTCGAGTAAGTCCTGGAAGAGTCTAAAAAGCAAGTAACAAATAAGCTAATAAATAACTGATAATTGGTTTGATCCACATAGGATCCAATATGTTTCTAATGAATTTTTGTAATGCATCTGAAACATCTTGGACCTCGTCTGGAAATCTGGATAGTAAATGCGAAACATAAACTCTCGTGTAAATTCATCATGGGCACCGTAAACACCAGGAACAGATAAAACATCTTCAGTGTTATGCAAATCCACAACCTCTGTAGACCTTACAAGGTGGTCTTAATGGTCTCAAGCGGTTCTACGAGTTGCATACAACATCACGTAGATCTGTTTACTATGGAAAAGGTCGGCCATGGCTTAATAGCGTATTATGTTGACAAAAACAGAGCGCGGGTTTTAATCATTGTCAGTGACCTTAGTTTCAATTAGGAATAATGCGTGTAATGATTATTTGAAATAGATTGAATATAGCAGGTATATAATAAAGTAGTAGTAGTGTGTAGTTTACATGAGTAGTACATATTTAAATATGTATAACTGTTTTGAAAGTTTTTTGAAATATATAAGTTAACTTATTTTAAAATAAGGCCTGACGTTATCTCACCTGAACCGTAAGACATTAGTAAAATTAAACTAAAAATAAGTTGACTTAAACACACACGGCACAATTTACAGAGAAACTTATTTAAATCGTTTTAAAAGTATCTAAATAAACGTTTTAAAAGAAATATTTATCTTATTTTACATTATAATTATTCTACCTTATTATCGCCATAACTTAATTGGACGTGATAGTAACTTGATACTGGTTATTTTCACGTTTTATGTCTAAAAATAGATAATTTCCACTAAAGGATTTAGTTTTGAATATTTTCAGATGTTGTAGTTTCAAATAAATCGTAATTTAATATTATATACTTTGTAATAAAGTAAACGTTTAATAAATACTAAATAATTGTGTAACATTATTTCAGCTTGACGCCCAACAACGTTACACGCTTTTCCAACGTGGCTTGTGGGAAGTGGCCCAACAGTTACCCAGAGGTGGGATAAGAGATTTCCCAACATTTAGACAATTGCGGCTGCTGTCTATCATTGGACCCGCTGCTCTTCCACCGGATCAGTTAGACAGAGTAAGTGACGTTGAGATAATATTATGAAGGCAAATTCAACCACATTTTTAGGACCCATTATTTTAATTAAATATATATTAATATAAATTATATTGATGTGATTATAGTATATGATAACAGTTACTTTAAGTGTTTAAACTTTGAACATTTTTTTTGTGAAATATCAGAGCGTATGATCGGTGGATCTCTGAAAGTGACGCTTAATACAATAAAACTTAAAATGTTGTGTAGTTACAATATCTATATTATAAAAATTTTGTTACCGATCCTTAAGTATTTTCAGTCATTTTGTTTACATTATCATTAATGTCCGACTACGTTTTGAGACAATTAGGTAGTTTGATTCCTAAAATTACTATTATGTTTTAAAAAGTGGAATATTTTAACCAAAAAGCAGTTAAAAGTAAAAACAATAAATAGTTATAAAACGTAATATATTTTCTTAAATTCTATTTAGCCTGACAAGTACGTATTGACCACAGAGACATGACTTGAAGCAGTATCCACAGCGCTAGTGCTGCTAGTCTAACTAATTGTTTTACTGTGTTGCACGTCATTTTTTTTTAACTAAATTTATTTTTAATTTAAATAATATAATGGCATTATAGTATTTTTGATTTTTGTTTTTCTTTATAGTACAATAGGATAATAAACGACATGCTAGCTGTTTACAACACAGCTGAGATATGCGCATACAACGAGCCCTTCAAGTGTGGACTGCATCTTCAGCCTGATCTTCAACACATTATGTCCCATTCCCGAGACTGGGACGAACTTCAGCACGCCTGGACCGAATGGAGGAGGAACACAGGGAGGAGGATAAGAGACTTGTATGAACAGCTCGTGGATTTGACAAATCAAGCTGCGCGACTAAATAGTATGTGATTACGAATAGTTATAATATCTGTTAAAAGTTAAACGGTTTAAAAGCTTTTTTATGATAAAGGAGGACAGACACACATTATTTGATGGTGGATGAAATGCCCCACCCTCACAGCTTAGCAAAATGCTCTGCCGAACTATTTTTGTCTTATTAAAACCTAAAGACTTCACGTCTTCTCATCTCACGTTCTTCTTCATTGTAGACGGTGGTTGTGACCGGACGGAATTTCGCTATTCCTACCACCCATTTCATATCTAAAGTTATAAATTGATAAGAAAAATGTTTGACATGGTGGGAATCGAACCCATAATACGAGTAGGTTGATGATTAGCTATATAGAGCAGTAAAAATCAACCTACCTAAGTCAAATTGACTTCGATATATTAAGAGCAGTTGTTTGTCTTTATGCCCCTTTAGTTTTAGAATAGCACAATTCATGTATAACTACATTGCTTAAATATTTTTACAGATTTCACAGATGCATCAGCTTACTGGATGTTTCCCTATGATACTTTCAATTTGAGAGAAGAGGTGGATCAAGTTTGGGAACAGGTTAGTTGTATTATATTTGTCCTATTTGTTATAGTCACCCTGACTCAATAACTAAACACAAGCGCAAGAGCTCCTAAGTTCGAATATTGGGGAACTATAATACTTTTGATCTAGCAGAACGTCTAACAAACTGTAAGCGTTTTCCTACCCATACAAGGCAAACGGGATTTATTGATCACCAACAATTTTTGGGACCCACACATTGATTTTAATTTTATCATTTTAGGTTAAGCCCTTGTACGACCTCTTACATGCCTATGTACGTCGACGACTTCGAGAGGCCTATGGACCCGAGAGGATCTCTAGATCCGCTCCTATCCCCGCTCATGTCTTGGGAGACATGTGGGGACAAAGCTGGAGTGGTATTGTGCCATTCACCCTTCCGTATCCGGGAAAGAAATTAGTTGATGTGACGCCGGAAATGATTCGACAGGTAAAACAAAATAATTCAATACAGACAAAGCTGTCTCAAAGTCAGTAAAACACATCTTACCATATTCTTTAAAAAAAAGGGCTAAAAAAGGTGTTAATATTTTTGTTGTTACATAATATTACAAATAGCGTTTTTTATTATGTACACAGTAACAACATTTTTATGTACTTATTTATTAATCTGAAATATCCCTTTTAAATTAAAACAATATCATTCTCCCACTTATTTTATTATAAAAATACACGCTGTTGCTATATTTAAATAAAGGCTTCTATTACACGATTCACTCTATAATAATTTAATTAATGTATAGTACAATACTTGTTGGCTATAATTTAAGTTTAGTAATATATTCAAGCATGCTTAAATCTTTGAAATGTTCTCCGTTTCAGGGCTTTACTCCGTTGACCATATTCCAACTAGCTGAAGAGTTCTTCGTGTCTATGAACATGTCGGCTATGCCTCCAGACTTCTGGGCTCTCAGTGTACTGGAACAACCGGCTGATAGACAGATACACTGTCAGCCATCTGCGTGGGACTTTTGCAACCGACATGATTATCGGTACACACATTAACCTTTTAAAATTTTCAAAAGACAAGGCGAACATTTTCCTACCTTCATATATTTGATCATCTCCATTACATATATTTGATGGCTTAAAATAATATATTCTTTTTTATAGAATTAAAATGTGCACACACCCAGATATGAAAGATCTTGTCACTGCGCATCATGAAATGGCACATATAGAGTATTTCTTGGCGTACAGAAACCTACCGAAAGTATTTCGTGATGGAGCCAATCCTGGTAAGTTTGACAACTTATAACTTTTATTTTAAATAAGATGATTACCCACTAATAGTATTCTCATTTGAAACTGCATCTTATATTAACAAAAATAATAGTAATGATCGCGTTGACACGTTATCATCTATTAAATCTAAAAATACAATGAACATAAAGCGGCAGTTTTTTATAACATTAATCGCTTTTAGTAAAGAATAGACCCCTAAAATCAAGCTTTAATTAAACTGATAAATTTTTTTATACGTTTTCATAACATTTTTCTCTAAATACATGTCCGTATAGCATTAAAAATTACAAAAAGTATAGTAAATGAAATTAACGCCATCTCGTGGCTACTTGAAGCTTTATTACACAAGTCCGTGTTACATGAACAGTATGTAACAAACAACTCTCCGGTACCTGTCTGCTTCTTGCAGCCATTCATTTTATATTCGTCCTTTAGGTAGCCGCATTTGCGAACAACCCGTAGTTTACCAAAAACTGAAATAAAAGATATTTAGAATGTCAAAAGAAATAAACCTTTTACGAATATATGCGATTAGTAAACTATCACTAACAAATTTTCCCTCTATTATAGGTACAAGACACTACTAAATATATCTTAACTACGTTGCTTCTTATTCCTAAGTTTTAAACATTTTTACTGTTTGATTTTAGTCCAAAGAAATTAATTATAGATTAGTGTAAAAAACTCTTATTAACAGTTTTACCTTTTCTTCTCTCGGAAAATAATAAAAAAGCTATGTATATATTAGAATAGATAGGTACGTACTCTCCATTTTGATAATTCTGCAGAATGTAGACTCGACAGGGGGGATATGATCCAAAGGATCTTTAAGTGAACAGTTGACAACACCTAAGCTGAAGTGGTCGAAACCTTCTCCGCATCGAGGGTCGAAAGCACTGTTGCAATCATAACACATGATAGATGTAGCTGAAAATGTAATTTTTGTAGTCAATATACATTTTAATTGTAACTTTGATATTTGTGTTCCCGATTTCCCATATAGGGCACAGAGCGAACATATCAATTTAATTACAGGCAAGTAGATCACACTTTTGTGCCCTGCCCGACCGTATTTTATTATTTCTTTTTTACCTAGGATTCGAATCAAGAATCTTTCGTGCTTGATGCAACGCTAAGCAACACGTTATCCATTCACTAAGGCGAACTGTCACTTAAATACTTGCATTAATTATTGAATAGATTCAAACCTTTGCTTCTCGATACCATTGGATTGGCAGAAGTTACCTAGGTAACATATGAAAAAACCTCAAAACACGTGAAAGAAATCAATATTTTCTTGAAGCATATTTGAGAGTGAATATTTTCATTTTTAAAAACTGATCCTGCGTTGACGCACGTGTCTAGAATATGTAGCATTCTAGACAATAAGACAAGTTTTTTAATCTCATTCAAAACTTAATAAACAGGCTAAATATCGAGTCCAAAAGAAATAAATCAGCTTTTATTTTAGCTGAAATCTGCCTTCGTTCAAATATTAATAACCACCTGTTAACATCAGTCATGCCAATGTTTATTTGGTAAAAGGTATTGCCTCCATTCAGTTACTGTCTTATGTGTTAAGGTTATTTCAATAAATGAGTTCACTGTTATAGACTAATATTATTAAATCGTTAAGAAAATTTCTTTCAAGTTCAGCGGAGTAATCCAATTCGAAATACAATAAGGCTTCTCTATAGTCTATGGCTGTGACCTACTTATTATTCGATGGTCGGTATGGCAACCTATATTCCTAATATAAATTTAGTTAAACAAATAAATTGATATGATTGAGGTTTTTTAGGATTATCATCATCGACGAAACCTCAAGTAAATGCAAAATAAATTACTTAAAAATATTTATATTCAAAACGTAAATTTCAAAAAAAGAACTTTATATCGTATACTTATAAATATTGTCATTATATTTATTTTACGCGAGTTGTAAGTTTATAAAACACTTCTATCGGTTTAAAACGTGAAATATATTCCTTACTTCTTTTTAATATACTAATTTAAACTACTAGACCAAGTTTTTGAAATATTTGCAACAGCCGTGGTCACAGGGGGATTTAAGATGAAATATCTTAGTAACTCTAATTTTCTGTTTAAAATCTTTGTACTGGATTTATTACAACGTGAAGCTTAAGGCATACGCGGAATATTCTTCTTCTAAACAAAAGCTAACACTGTATTTTAACTATCAGTGACTGAGAGTATTTTAATTAAATATGAATTCTACTTACCACACTTAACACTCCACAGCACTGATAGAGAAAACGTGATAGGATTCCTAAAAAAATTTCATGTTGACGAATAAAATAACAGAAGTTATGAGAGCACACGTTAGAAAGCAGTTTTTTCACTATCCACATTACGTCAGTAGGAAATTATAATTGAATTAAACTTGTTACCGCGTCCAATTAAGGCTCGAAGCGATACGAAAAGATCTGTCTTAATTTGAACAACTGCTGTCCATTTACATAAGTGTATAATATATATAAATAATGACTTTGCATTGTTACGATTTCATTTACATTCTTAAAACAAACATTAAATTAAATTTAATTACTGGCTACATTTCTTGTTCTCATTGTTTATAGATATTAAATACCACCACTGTGGTCTATTCACTTAAACGAGGAGGACACAGAATTGTTTGTTTTTTACTTAATAGTAGTAATCGTCAATTTGATAAATACTTTATACATATTCGTAAAGTATACGTTTTTATCTATGCATTCGCGCACTTTTAGGCGACAATTTCATTCAATATGTACAATATATACACTAGTATCATTATTGAGTTCTAAGATATAATTATACAATATCTACGTATAATATAGAAAAATATAATACGTGTTTATATGTTAAAAGTGTTATCTTGCTTTTCCTAGATTTGCCTGTCTTACTAAGTACTTTCTTTATGAAAGCGTAAATAATGAGAAACTAAACTTTTAGCAACAAAACAGGTTTCCGCGGGTTAAGAACCTTTGCCAAACGCAGGACCCTTTTAGTTACAGGAATTTTCATATTAATGTATAGTATCGCATTTTGTACGCTACAAATATGGCGACCGCCCTAGGCAGTTTGTGACGATAATAAGCGCCCTCTGCCAGTTCAGATCTAATACCTCGGGCAATTGATACCCTATAACAGTCGTAATTGTCTTGTTGTCTATATTTTATAATGTTTAATAAAATATTTTGCATTTTAAGTTAAATATTTAAGGCGAAAATGTTTATAATATTACGGATACTTAGTTAAAAGTTTACTTATCTTATGACAAACTTTATAATCACTAAACAAACGGTTTTCGTAAGTTGGCAGTGTCTTCTAAAGTAAAAAATTTAATACTCATAACGAATTACCCAAATGTTCGTTTGTAATAGCAGAGTTTTAGAAAAATATTTCTTAAGATCATTAGTAACTAATATATCTTATAAACATACTACATTGAAATTCTGATTGAAAAAGTAAATTACAAAATGTCCATAATTTCTTGAAAATTAGTTAAGAAATTGTGCTAGAGGTTAATTTTTTAGAAACGTCGGCGGTAACAGTAATGAATATATTTAAATATATTATGCAGAAAATTTTGCTTGTAATTAATTATTTGTTTGAAATATTTGATTAAAAGTTGGTTATTTTTTATAAAGTTTATTAAAAATGCCATTACGCCACATTATGTATTGTTACTTCTACCATTCTGAGATCGTTATTGGAATTTAGTTTTAACTTTAAATGTTATTCCATTAATTTTTTCGGTCGGGGCGTATTATGAATTAAAATTTGTGACCTCCTTTTTATCGTTATAGATTTCAGAGTTGCTCATGACTCGTCTCCCATCGTTCAAATTAATCTTAAGTGACATATAATGTGGCAGACATTTTTTTAATCATTGATCACTTTACACTGCTTCTTCGCTCCTATCGGTCACAGCGTGAAGTTATATAGCCCTCCTCGTTCCTGAGATTAGTGTGTTCAAACATACAAACAAAAAAACTGTTCAGCTTTATATATTAGTATAAATTGTGTAATATCGAATGAATACAAACAATGGCTAAATATATGAAATAGTATACGATGTGATATTTACTCATGTATTTTTAGTTATTTTTACTCCATTTTACAAATATATACTCGTAGATATACACATCTAAGTCAGGAGAAGTAATAAGTGTTATATAAGCTATGTTTTCACAGAGACATTTCTAAACAAAGAACATTATTAGTGCTGTAAGATTTATAAATTTGTTTGTATCACATCGTTTCCCATATTACGAAATTTAGAGCACGCTGCGTGTCTAGAAATCGTAAACCGTACACTCGTACTCGTATTACAAACACAAATACAATATAATAGATAAAGTAACTCCATGTTTTACCCGATTTAATAAAATGAAGATTAAAAAAGGTAAAAGTAAAAAATACCGCATTAAAATTCGTAAGTAACATCACGTTTCCTGGTCAACCTAAACCATCTATTGTTTGCCGGGATTCCAACCTAACAGCTCTTGCGCTTCACGTAATGCTAGGCAACATTTAACTCTTTAGCTATAGTAGAAATCGTCGTCCATACATATTGTATAATCTAGTAAAATGTGAAATAGTGAAGATATATTATAATTGATTTTATTTACGTTGTTGTTGTTAAAGGGCATCAGATTTCTCTTGCCCTGTCAGACGAAAAATAGTATTTATTACGCGACTTCGAACTGAACGACTACAACTCACTGCTTTGCCATCAGTGATACCAAAATATACATAAAAATAATTTTATATCATTACTAGTTGATTCGTTCGCGTAGGATAGTAATTTCGGACATCCAAATTCGTTTTTACCCACTACGTCGGTCGCGTCCCTTCCGTCGTTCTTGCAAGATAATCTTAAGAGATAGACATATAGCGTCGCGGACTTTTTTCATAGATCATTTAAAGAGGGTATCTCTCTTACACATTTTTTTTGGTATCTTGAACCGTATTTGCAGCGTACGCCTCGGAAACCCATAATGATGAATAATTTTTTTCAAATATGCGCGATGTAACATCGCGATGTTTGTACAATGCTCTTACTCGAACAAACTCTACTCAAACAAACTCTTCAGCTTTATATATTAGTATAGATGTAGATGGGTTACCCAAGATGTTCGCATCCCGTCGTTCGGGTCCCGTCGTTCTTGCAAGTTAATCTATAAAAAGTTCGAACCAGTAGTTCCTGGGACTAGTGCGTTCAAACAAACAAACTCTTCTGCTTTATATATTAGTATAGATTTTCGTGTCTATTTGTAATTGTGAAAAGAAGATTTAATTTTAATCGTAGAGAGTTACAACACGATATTGAAACAGGCTTCATATATCAAAAATATGTTAATGTTGTGTATTTAAGCATTCCATTCGTCCTTGATCAACAATTATTATCATATAGTCCTTAAGTTTTGACAAATGCAAGTTTGCAGCCCACCGCCGCGGTGTAGTGGGTTTACGGAAATTAAAGTTACGATATTTGTTACGTAAGCTGCACATCTTAAATCGTTACACTGATCTATGAAACTAGAAACGACAATTTTGTTTACCGAATATTTTTATTAATTTTGATAAAATATTTTACGGTGTACGAAACACAAACTCGTATTTTTGGTGTTATTTTCAATTAGTGGTTAAAATGGCAGAATTATGGTAATGAAAGCGGTGAACCTACTGGGCCCAACATTTATCTAATCTATTTATATCATATAGACGTCTCCCGTGACCACGGCTGCTGCAAAACATCCGAAACGTCGGGCCGAATTTAAAAATCGTTTTCAAATAAGTTTAATTAATATATCGCGATTTAAACCGTTAAAGTGTTTTATTTAAATATGTACTACTCGCGTAAACTATAGATAGTATTTAATCTCTTTATATTTTTTCTCAAACATGTTAGACTTCATCTGGGAAGGTGAATAAAAGGGGTGGTAGGAATATCGAAAAATCCATCCGGGTCATAAACTGTCCACAGATGTAAAAGCCGTTCACGGCTTTTTTTACATCTGTCAAACTTCAGTTTAATCGCGTGTCGGAATCCAAGACTAAGTCTTGGATTTCAAAAACCAAGAACGAGCACATCTTATTTAGATGTTATATGCCAGCCATATAATATCTAAATAAGATGTGCTCGTTTTTTTCTTCCTCTTTCTCTTCTATTGAAAAAAAATAATTCTTAAAGTCACGTTTTAAAGATACATAACATTTGACTAATAAACTTTTTTCTGCATCTTCTTGGCGATATGCAAGTGAGAGAAATGTGAGATAAATTCTAAGCGTATCTAGTAAGCTTTATATCCTGAATAGTGCTTTTTTATTTGAGTTCGCGGTTCCTCACAACGAGGTCAAGTTTACCGTCTACAAGCCCATTTGCTTTCGTCATTAGCGAACGAATTAATTTTGCGTTCACATCGCAATTGAACAAGTCTTTGTTTTCGTAGTTTTCAACTTCCTATCTGTCTCAACATATGTCATGAATTATTTAATACTTGTTAATGCTTAATGTCATATTATTGTGGGGATATAAACTTTATAATTTAAGCAAAATTTGAGTGCAAAAAATATCATATTTTAAGTCAATTTAAACTTTGCTTATAAGCTGTTCTGGCAGATTTTATTTTTCATAGGTTGGAAGTATTTCTACTACTTTTGACTGAATTTGACAAAAAAACTTTTTTTTTATACTATATAATATTAAAAGATAGTCAGATATCATCGAAGACATGATTTGAGATTACTTAAAGAATAATAATTATTTTGTACATATTGTTTTCCTTATCTTGAACCGTTTTCCAAGCGTAGGCAACGTAATCCCAAAAAAAAATGAATAAAGGATTCTCCTATTCCTCGATAAATGGTCTAACCAAAACTAAATAAGGTCAATTCTAAATATTAGGTCCCGTGATTAGCGCTTTCAAAGAAACAACCTTTACTCTCTCAACTTTATTCTATTAGTATAGATGTACTGTCTATAGTTTACGCGAGTAGTACACATTTAAATAAAACACTTTAACGGTTTAAAACGCGATATATTAGTTAAACTTATTTGAAAATGATTTTTAACTTCGGCCCCACGTTTCGGATGCTTTGCAGCACGGTCACTTTGGTCACGGGGAGACACAATCATTTTCAAATAAGTTTAACTAATATATCGCGTTTTAAACCGTTAAATTGTTTTATTTAAATTAGTATAGATGTATTATCTTCCACAATTTGGAAACTAACGTTTTCGTATGTACCGAGTGTAGAGCGTCCGTGACCAGTCTTCTGTGTCCGGTCTGTTTCCAAAAACGTTACGTACTAAAAGGAAAATATACTTTTCTTTTAAGCTTAAATGTTCAGTTAGTTCTAGAATAGTCTCATACAAAAGTATAGTGGGTTATTTCCGACAAGTGACGCGTCGGTTTATCAATCGGGTCCGACTTGCACTTCCGTATTCGCTTTCTCTCGTACGCTTTTTCTTGCTTTACTAAATTTACAATTTAAATATGCACTTACATGTATAACCACTTCAATAATAACATTATTTTTTAAAGATATTTTCCATTCGTTGTTGTTGTGTTGTTTCGTCAACGATATTGGTGTTTAGTGTAGATTATTCATACGAATAGCTTTATAGAAAGTTATCTTTTATTCTTATTAAACGTGTTCAATAGTTTTGATTACGTAAGCATTTTTTGAACATATCAACGTTTATTATAATTGGTCTATAAGCATTTATACATAATACTAAAACATTATTTGCATAACATAACATAATCATTTGAATAAAAGACTTTTTATGGTTTAAAACCCGTAATGTGTTAGTTATTCTGACTTAGTCTCAGTAGTCAGGAAACAGATGGCGCTGGCATAGCAAACTTTTGTGACTTTGACATTAAGGATCATCAGTCCCCTTGTGACCAAGGCTGCTGCAAAGCATCCGTAACACGGGTTATAGTTAAAACAAATTCTAAATCTGTTTCGCGTTTTAAACCATTATTTTATTTACTTGCATAAGCTACAAAAAGTACTTGACATGTTGATTGCTTGTTACAGGTTTTCACGAAGCCGTTGGAGAAACTATAGCTCTTTCCGTCTCTTCACCTCGTCATCTCCAAACCCTTGGTCTTATCCAACGGTCTATAGATGATACAGCCCATGACATCAACTATCTCTTCACACAAGCGATGGATAAACTCGCCTTCCTTCCCTTCGCTTTGGTCATGGATCGTTGGAGATGGGACGTTTTCACCGGGGACATAAGAAAGGAACAGTACAACTGTCATTGGTGGAGATTGAGGTAATTATTCATATGGTTGACGCAGGTTCACGCCCTGTTGAGAATATATTTTACCAAACCGTTATTAACGATAACATTTTTTTGACAATTTAAATTTGTTGTAAACTATGCGGACCACTATCAACCTGTTACAATAACAATTAATAATTCAATATTAAATTTTAAAATTAATTTGGTACAAAATTTACCTTATAAAGAGTTCGCTGTTTTTCTTGGGATGTCTGTTTATTATTACAACCGCGGCTGCTTCAAAGCATTCGAATCGTCGCGCGGCATTTAAAATACATTCTAAATAAATTGACTAATATTTTCGCGTTTTAAACCGTTAAAACTGTTTTATTTAAATTAAGGTTTTATTAAGGCCAAAAACCAAACTTTTGTCAGTCATTACATCATGCTGTTATGCCTAGGAGTTCAAACTGCGTATTCTGGTAATGTCGATCTCTAGTACAATCCACTGATTTTCTACAGCCTGTTCGAATTCCCTACCTGTGGAATATTACCAAGGAGTTTGCGTAAACAGTCACCTAACAGCTCGGCAAATCAGCTAGCTATAACAGCACAATTAATAGAATCAATCATACTTAACTACGTGCATGGTTAATTAAAAGAAGTCTAGACAGTTGTATTAGATAACAATAATTAATAGCGCAACGTAATTGCAAACGTACGCACTGCTGCACTGTGAAATAACATCTGGCGATATTTAGCAACATAGTTGAGGACTGTTCTAGAATTTAATATGGTAATATATTTTGTAATTTTTTAATGTTTCCAATAAGAAAACTGTAATTAAAGGTACCTCAATTGGTAAAGCACGAACAGATGTTGGTATACCGATCATCTACTAATATATAAATGTGCAAAGTTTGTTTGTTTGAAGGCACTAATCCAAGAAGTTCGAATTGAAAATTATTTCTGTGTTGGTTAGAGCATTTATCGATATAGGTTATGGGCTAGAAATTTTGAAAAAGCGCGGAATTTTATTCATCTCTGTGAGTTTCCAATGCGAATACGGTTTAATATTATTAAAAAGAATGATATCTCTTTAAATGATCAAAGAAAATGTCGGCAACAGTATATGTATATGTTTAAAGATTAACTTGCGATACCGACGGACTGCGCGATAAAGAGGTTTGTAAAAAAAATTTGGATGGCCAATAACTATTCTACGCGGACGAAGTCGCTGACGCACCTAGTTTCATATAACATTATAAATGTTACCTTTCTGAAATCAATTCTACTTAAGGAATTATGACTTCCCTAACTATAAGCATAGAAGTTTTTAAGGAACGACTAATTCTTTTGATTGGGTAGAAGAAATAAAGAATTTAATACGGACGCAAAAATGTATTTGCTTTATTAGTCAAGTGATTTTACTGCTTTAACAATAAAACTTAAGAAACACAGATATTAAGCATACATAATATATGAACCATAAAATTATCTATGAAACGATTCTATTATTTGTGGTACACTAATATTATGTTACTTGCCCTTGACTTGCAGTAGGCTCGATTCGTTATAGAAAGGAAAAGTAACAGATTGTAGATCACGATTTTATAGTAATAACAAATGAGATTAGTACAGTTTTCTAGAGTACGTATTACGTCAATGCTTACATCTACATAATTTTGTGGTAAATAGCAGATATTTGCTAATTCGTCTACTCGAATATAATATGTAATAAATAAAAACGCAAAAAAAGTAAAATACACGTTCGAACAATAATATAATATACAAATCATATAATAATAGACTAATAAAGAAAAGTAATAGCTCCTGTACACTAGAATCACTCAGTTACAATAAACGTGAAATAGCATTTCCTGTCCTGGGGCATGGGCCAATACATTTCTGTGCCCATTTCACTAATCGGTTTTATTTTATAGGCAATCAGTTGATCAGACTTATTTACTTTGCTCTACCGAAACAATTTACTGTTTCTCTGGGATTCCAATCCAGGACCATTTAGCTACAGAGACGCTCTGAGTCACAATAATTACTACACACTCCTCAAGGAATCCTCATTTAAGGACATAACTGAACATTATTTTGAGAAAAATCTTAATTTGTTACATTAAAATCGTTACCTTAATTATTTCAGGGAACAATACCAAGGAGTGAAACCACCTGTTCTTCGCTCAGAGCTCGACTTCGACCCTGGATCCAAATACCACATACCAGCCAACATTCCCTACATACGGTAAGTTGACATAATCCTTCCGTGCGCTGCCACATGCGAATATTACGCTGTTATTACTTCCTCATGAGCAATTTAGTATGTCGTCAGTATACGTAACTACGAACTATGGCCGCAACATTTCGTCTCGAGATATTGCGATCGAAAGCATAGTCTTCGTAATACATAGGATGACAATTTACAAAGTTAAGATAGTATAATTCTTTGTGATTTAGCTTGGATAAAAGAAATTAACACAGAGATCGTTTTGTATATTCTGTAACATTATTTCGTATATTAGGTAATATTCTTATTTAAATGAAACACTTTAACGGTTTAACACGCGATATATATTAGATAAAATTTGAAATTATTTTTATCTACAGTATTATTTTAAACTGCGGCCGTATTTAAAAATAATTTCAAATAAGTTTAACTAATACAAATCGCGTTTTAAACCGTTAAAGTGTTTTATTTAAATGTGTTCTACTCTTGCGTAAACTACAGACATTTTTATTTTTCATTATCTAATTTACATTGTTGTACCATTTTAATACACTTGACTAAATGGCAAACAATTATATTTGACACATTACAATTACATACATACATCACATATTCAACAAATTGTAAATAAAACACATCAAAATATTAGCGAGTCCCGTTCAATTACCTCAACAATTAGTTCTCAACCGGTCTCAAAGCCGTCACGCAGTCGTATTTTCTAAGTAACTCTTGTGTGGATTAAGCAGCTTTATATGTTACGTAAAGTTTTACATAACTTTGCCTATCTAGTGCGCTAGTTTCAAAATGACTTCGCAATGAATAATTGTCTGTTAACACTCCGTTATTAATATTGAAATATCCGTCTTCATGTAGATAGGGAACTAAGATTTACTTTTTATTGATTTTTCATGTATATTATGGTTCAGACCATAGTAACGCTATTAAAGGTATAGAATAGTTTCAAAGTCTGGTTTATTTTAATTTTATTAATAATATGATGGCATATTAAATATTTAAAGTTCTAAATGACTTTGAATTGGAGAGGAAGAAAACATTCTTTTTTTTATTAATTTATTTAATGTAACACTTCAATTAATACTTTCGGTTTATTTACAACACAGTCAAGTCGCAAAGTAAATTGAAATACTAAGTCGACAACTAAATACAAAACAACATTTAAAGCTAAAAAACAAAGAAGAGATCAGACTATTAATGGTGGTATTCATGGCCACCCTCGTAACTTCCAAAGCCTTCGTAACTACCACCGCTCAAACCTTCTTCGTGAATTCCACCACTGTAACCCCCTTCGTGGCCACCAAATCCACCTTCAAGTCCTCCTTCATGACCACCAAATCCACCTTCATGTCCCCTTGTGGCCACCAAATCCGCCCTCGTGAATGCTACCGCCACCGTAACCACCTTCATGGTGTTCCTCGTGGTGCACAATTGGTACAGGAATCTTCACTGGGTAAGGCACGTGCTTCTCTACTGGGTACGGAACGTGCTTTTCAATATGGACAGGTACAGGTCTGTCGACTGGTACTTTGACTGGAATCGGCACTTTTTTCTCCACTGGGTACGGGATAACTTTTTCGACGGGGTATGGAGCTGGCACATGGACTTTCACTGGAACAGGCACATGTTTTTCTACGTGTACTGGCACAGGGTTGTCGACATGTACCTTCACAGGGTACGGCACTGGTTTCTCTACTGGGTAAGGCACTGGCTTCTCGACTGGGACAGGTACAGGCTTAGCGACGTGTACGGGTACTGGGCGATCGACGTGTACGTGTACTGGGTAATGAACGACCTTCTCAACTGGGTAAGGCACGTGCACCTTGACTGGTACCTTAACTGGGAACGGGACATGCTTCTCTACGGGGTAGGGTTGAGGTACGTGGACCTTGACAGGTACTGGTATATGTTTTTCTACGGGGTAGGGTACATGCTCGTAAACCTTAACAGGCACCGGTCGGTCAACGTGAACTTTCACTGGTACGGCAACTTCCTTCTCAACTGGGTACGGCTTAGGGATGTATTCAGGTACTTTGATGTACTCTTTCACGGGGTAATGTACAGTTTTGTAGACTGGGTATGGGTGTGGTACGGGGACCTTGACTGGAACCGGTACATGCTTCTCCACGGGTACAGGAATGTGTTTCTCTACGGGGTACGGCACTGGAACATTTTTCACAATTGTTACGGTCTTCTCGTGTTCTTCGTGGCCGATGTGACCGATTCCACCCTCAAAGCCGCCGTAAGAACCTCCAAGGCTGCCGTAACCGCCTCCGTAGCCTCCACCATAACCATGGTCACCGTAGAAATCAGATAGTCCTCTTTTGTCTTGTTTTTTAGTGTCTTCGATCTTGCTTGCTTCAGCCTTTGTGTCCTTCTCCGCCTTCTCCTCTGCCGTGGCCAGGCTAATAGCCACGGCCAAGATTAAGGTAGACCTCTGTAAACAAAATTCGGATTTAATTCATTTGATTTGTCGAAACAATTGTTAGACTTTTTAATTGATTATACATATTAATATAATATTATAATATTATAAAACTACTGAAATTAATCATTGAACTAACCAGTAGCCTCATATTCGCTTAGCTTGATATTCAGCGAAGGCTGCACAGGAGTGTGTTGTGTGGGTCTCGACTCGTGGTTTTATACCGAGTGTAAGTTATTTCGTAGATCATTGAAGTAAACACTTTCGCCCGTATACACTAAACAACGCTCTAGATGTGTGCGTGCGAGGATTTTTATGAGATGGGTCCATTTCTAGCTATAACGAAGATAAAAAAATATGACTAATGTTACCTTTACAAGGAGTTCAATCTTTTGAACGATATTACCAAAGGATTAAAATATTTTTGCCAAATAATTCGATTTTATTCGATATAAAAAGATACAATAAATTATGTGTAAACATTTTGTTCTGATAAACAAGCTTAATTGTACAAATGTATGTTACTTTAAAGATGAAAATAAAAAAAATGTATATAAAACTTCTATCGCAATAAATGTTAACAATTATGAGGCACAAATTAATTTTAAAAACATGTGTAATTTTGTACTACATAAAAAGCAAGATTGGCATAGTTCGTACGTACGTAGTATGATATTTTCATGACAGATTTCGTTTGTATAGTTCATAATTCGTACTTTTATAAACTACTTAAATATCGATGAATTAATTAAAATGTACGTATTAGGAAACCACAAAACATGCTGAAGGACAAATTAAATATTGCTATCTAAATTAAAAATGCAAATGCGATGGGAAGAAAAGCTATCAAAGTTAACTTGCAAAACTGCTTGGCGCCAATCGAGTTGCGTAAAATAGCTATGACCCCATGATTGCAGGGTTAAGGTTGGGTGAAAATTAAAAAAAACATATTTCAATAAAATACTTGCAATAGTTGAATACGAAAATGTACTATTTAAATTGATTTACAATTTATTTTAACTACGACCGGTTGTTAACGGCGTAGCACTTTTTACTCTGCCATTAGGGATACTCCTTTTGTTTCGCGCTGTTGCAATGTAAATAACTTTAACTTAGTTATACATTTGAAAACTTTTATCTTTTCACATTTTATTGCACACGATGGCACTATATAGTTTAAAAAACGAAACGAAATTGAAAAAAATATTTCACTCGGGCAGGACTTGAACCGGCATCGTCAGCGTTCCGTGCTGTTGCTCTACCAACTCGATAGGTCAATTGGTAGAGCAACAGCACGGAACGCTGACGATGCCGGACTCGCAAATTAAGTTATACATTCCGCGTTTCAAGTCGTTAAAAGTGATTTATTTAAATGTGTAATCCTCGTAAACCACAGACAGTACAAAATATTTTCTCTCCGATATATATTTAAGTTAATAAAAGACATTTTTTTAAAGTAAGAGTTTTTTCCAAACTCTTTCTTATTCTTCCAAGAATATGTAAGGTGTACTTGAAAAATTTGTAAGGCCGATTGTTTATGTATTAAGTTTCAAATGTAAGACTTTTTTAACATGATATAATTGTACAGCTGCTTATAAATCGTTAGATAATCATATTGACTAGATTTAATTTGCACATAAGTAATATTAACAAGTAACGTCCACAACGTTGTTATACAATAATATGTAAAACGTATCTCATTTTATTACATATAAAATATCAATAACCTTATTTTATATAAACAGTAATAAACAGTATTTCCCTTTAAAAAAACTAAATAATATTGCTATCTATCTAATTGGGTGCTTTAAATTTGGCCTTGGTCAATGAACCTTCTTCAAAGCGATCTGCAGATTTCTCTTTATTCTTAACATAGTAGTTTTAATGTATAAGTAATAATTAATGATTTTCATCATCTTCCGATTTTGTAACGCAATTAAACGTTATGTGACTTCAAGGAAGACCTTCATTCAAGCGTCAAGGCGAGAAATTTTGTAACTGACTTCGTTTTATTAAATATATTTTTTTACTGACACGTTTTAAAGAATAAACAAGAGGTTAGAAAATCACGCACTTAACTATTATAATATAGAACTCATGTGCAATATAAAGATGTGTGAGTTTAAACATATTAGATTGTAATTTGAAAAAAATTCGACTCGGGCAGGAGTTGAACCGGCATTCACAGCGTTCCGTGCTGTTGCTCTAATTAATTGGTTGGTGCCAACATGTGTAATAACATGTGAATATGAAAGCTTTCAAAGTGTAAAACTACTTTTATATCCTAATGACTTAGTTAATATCAAGTAACTAGTCGAAATATTCAAGTCACTTTTATATTTTTCTATTACTTATTTTTATAAACACTAAAATATAACTTTTAAGGATTCAGAAGCATAGATAAGCACAACTTTCTTTTGGTGGTAGGTGATTCCCTAGAAATACCTAAAAGATTAGCTGTCCAACCAATTTTCATTTGTTTATGGTCTAAAGTTTTATTACGACGAATATTTAGCACAACATTAACGTCTTAAATACCGTCCGTAGTGTACGCGAGTAGTACACACATTTAATACAACAGTTTAACGGTTTAAAACGCGATATATATTAGTTAAACTCCCCGTGACCACGTTGCTGCGAAGCATCCGAAAAGTCGGACCGCAGTTAAAAATAGTTTTCAAATTAGTTTAACGTGTTAGGTTAAGCTTCTTATTTGAAAGTTTAGCATAATTTCCCAGGCATTAGTGCGCATTTACGCAACTAATCTTACAATTTCTTAACAAAAGCAGACCAGGTATTCTGGTTTATGGCCTATAAGAATGAATCACTTGCAACAGAAACAATGCGTTTCCACAAGATATTAACAGTAACGATTATTATGTATTGCTCAATTTTAAATTAATAACCTCGTTCAAATCGCTTTTCCTTGCCCTTGATAAGTATTTCATAAAAAATACGAATATCACTAGAACTTGTATTCGACTTATATTAGACGGTAATTAGACATATTAAATAACATAAGAGACGAGGACTAACAAGTATGGGGTTCGCTTGATGCAAGATGAAATACCCTAGCCATATAACATCTAAAGGAGATGCGAGATATATCTGTTTTGGCTTTACATCCACAGACTGACACTTCACGACTTTTTCATCTGTGGACGATGGTTCGTTCTCCCGACAGAATTTGATACCTGTTACCTATGTAATATACAGATTACCAAAAGAAGTCCAACGCGTTGAAAAAAAATATAAATTGATTTGAAACATGCTGTACCTGGTGGGGATTAAACCCACGACTCCTTGATTATTATTAGCCATAGATTGCAACCATTATAATGGCGAGCCCATCTAATTGAATATTTGTCGGGTAATGAATTCCATCAGTGTAACACAAAAAATTTGACTGCGCTATTCTCTAGGTACATGACATAGGATTTAACTTATTACCTAACTTAGTGGCACTAACTTACTTTGAGCTTAGAGCGCTTTATCTCAAACTTCAACTTGGCTACAATGAATTGTGCTGATATTTACCGGTTCCCTTATCTCAATTGTTTCAATGTAAGTCACCAGTCTCTAATTGTCAGTTAGGAGGATTTATCTATTGACTAATAAAATGATTACTAATAGATAAAATTGTTTAGTTAATGTAGTTAAATGAATTATGATAGTTTTTCGAGGAAGTTGAACCCCGGTTCTATAAAGATTTTTTAATGTTTTATTTTCTTAGGGAGACACCGACAGAAGGGTGGCCACACTATCTACTAACTATTTCGTTCAATTCCCCATCTCCTCCATATAGAGCACTTTGTGTTGTCCAACTCTCACTGTGTCCGCTATAAACCTAAATCTTTAGTTTTTGGGCATTCCGAAATCCGTATACTGAAACCAAATCGTAGTTTTAGATTCGTGATGATTTCAGATCGTGATTTAAAAAACAAAACAATAATGATTTAGAAACATAGTGGTCTCGATGAGATTCGAACCTGAGAAATATTGGTAACTAGCAATACATTGCCCTTGCAATCAGCACGTCCAAATTACTTGTAAGTAGAACACAATTACACTATGTAACACCAGCTAACTGTTATATAACTATAATAATATGAATAAATATAATGTAAAACCTTTTAAAATTTAACATATCTTTAAAATTTAATTGTTCGGTAATCGTACGCATTTTACAACATTTAATGATTAGTACTTCTATTAATCATGGTTTATCGAATAGAATCGCAAATGTACGCGCTTTCTTCCGTTAAATTTAATAGCGCTGAACCGACTTTGTAAATTTCTCTTACAATAACTGCAGTTAAAAAACGGTTCGACAATTTGAAATATTACTTGTCAAAATTTCCGATTATTGATCATATAGCATTGTATAATGGACAAAACATTTTAATTAAATTTCAAAATTATTTAGAATGAGGAAAGTCACAATACCGTCTTATCTTACCAAGTCAAACGATGGACTTTTTCAAACTAAATAGATTTTTAATTTAGAGAAAGTTATCTGCATCAACATGCAGGAAATAGTAATATGGTTTTATTCAATGTGTAATCGTTGCGAGTTTTTCAATATGAAAAGAAACATATCGCATTTGTAGACATATTGTCTGTGGCGTATAACTTTACCTCCGGCGCTCATTTTAAATCGCATCATCTAGAATGCAAAGAGATCATGTTCGCTCCCAGGTAAACATGATTTAACCATTAAAATTAATTACCAATAGATAAAATCGATCACAATAACAAACCCAGACTCCAACGAAATATAATTTTGTGTTACAATTGAAGCCAACGTGACTTCGATTGTTACAAAATATCCTTTTAACGTCGTTAATGATACCAGTTGTATGATTTATCAACGCTCGCGTAATCCAGGAAACCGCGTCTCACTACCGTCTAAGTTACAAGTTTTGTGTTACACTAATACACTTAGATAATTGTTATCTTAATTTCTGCAATGACTTAATATGCCAACACCTTTTTATTCGAAATTTACAGACTTCTTACAATAGGGATGTTGACTGTAACAAAAAGTAAAATAATTCGAATCGCTGTATTGGTATAGTACCATTCGTATAGTAGGGTAAATATGTTATATGTTAGAGGTTTCCGCAGCACTTAGAGCTCGTGTTAAAATAC